CGCTCGGACCTGCCACCAGTAGTTCCAACGGGAAGCCTCCACACACGATCCTGTGTACATGCTGGCTGATATTGAAGTCAATTTTCAGTTCAGTTGATGAACTACCACGGCCACTTCATCTAGAACTTGGCACGCCCTCTAAACTGAACCGGTTCTTCAATATCAATGATATTTTGTTCAGTTCTGCCAATAAAGTGATTATGTTAGAACAGAACATCCTCATGATCTGCACTGAACCTCAAATCGGTCTACCGTTCTTGATTTACTGCCTCGGACGGAAAGAAGGTTGCATCAATAACGTTCTCATATGCGGATTGAACAGGATGTTGACCTAAGTGAATAGATCATGATAGCAACTTCTGCTTTCAGTACCATTCTGTTCAACAACCTGGATAATATACTGCCTACCGGTATTACCACTAATATCAGGTGCGTGTCCCCACGTAGCCGAACTTTGTTTGTCTTCTTTGACCACACCATCATGGTCACTCCTATCAACACAAGAACAGTTGGACATCTTCGGCTGGTTCCATGTTGGCTGATTCGAAAGATTGGGTGGATTCGAATTTTTCTATGAAAAGCAATATCAACAAGCTCATTTATTCTCGGCGCGCTTCCGATTCATCAGTTATATAACGCTATAAACATTCTGGGCCCAAAGGCAGTGGGTCAGCAAGTTGGAGCACTCTGTGACGCGTCAGTTCTGAGCGGCAATATACAGAACCAGTCTGCTAATCTTCTATATCGCAGTTCATGTGGTGTAAATCAATGGGCACTGAGAAGGTCATGCCGGGATTCCCTGGCTCCTGTTGGGTCCACCTCCCCCAGACAGCTCCTCTGCAGCAGACTCAAAGTGTCTGATTCTCACCTGTTTGATCAGTTCCAGCTCCGAGCTACCTGGCATCAGCCTGTGTATAGATGAAAACTCTTTCTGTTATTAGATTTCTTGGGTTTAAGCTGTCGTAGGCACTGCTATTCTATTAACTGTATGATATTGAAGTTTGCTCAGCTCCACAGAACAGAGTGGATCTCTCTCCACCTGACGTTGGTCGGACCATTCTTGTGCCAACAACAACCACTGTCTTTCTGGATCTCCACCCAGCGGTGGGCGTCAATGCCACTAAGCGCATCTGTCCTCCTTCTCTGGCTGTCGCTCAGTCCAGCCACGACAATGGATCACGATCCATCTGCGTTACAACATCTGATTCAGTCATGGGGGCCTTCATGGGTGGATCCGTTGTATATTCATAAAATTCCTTGTGAAATTGCTTTCTTGAAAAGCAAAGTATTTGTGATTATTCAGAAACTTTGAATATTTCTGGGGATTCTATTATTGCTTTAGTTTTCTATTTTTTTAAATATTCTTATTCAAATTTACTGCTGAGATATTTCAAATGTGTACGTGTTCAACTAAATCATGAATAAAAATAAGACCAGGATTCTACTCAGCTCGATGACAACTTAATAGGAATAACAAATTTAGTTATATCAATAACCAACACATCTCAGGAGTTGCTCAGGTCTATGGATGTTTTACTAATTAATCTCTCTTTGGTGTACTGGAGATCAGATATCTGAAAAGAAAGAGAAGAGAAAGAAAGAAAGAAAGAAGAAGAAAGAAGAAGAAGAAGAAGAAAAAGAAGAAGAAAGAAGAGAGAAGAAGAAGAAAAGAAGAAGAAAGAAGAGAAAGAAGAAAGAGAGAAAGAGAAGAAGAAGAGAGAAGAATAAATGTAAGTTAGATATTTTTTTGTGATGAAATTTTACAAGAAGCATCCTTTAGAACTTTTTAAGATATGAAAAATATCTGTTGGGGATACCTAGGTGTTTATTGATCGACAGCGACGTTACTGTCTATGTGAGGAATTATTATGCGTTTCGAATTGGAATTTTGTTAACTGATAGCTTTTAAAGGATAATAAAGAAAACAGCATCAAAGTCCAAAACAAAATAATACAAATCTTTCAACGTTACAGCGGTTTGTGGGCCTAGCCATGCCGAATCTTAGAATCTTCATGCTTAATCCAAGATGTCAGGTCATAAGTCCTGTCTACAAAGCAAGGAAATTTATTTACCTTTCACCCTTGTATTTATATTTTATCATTTGAACGGATGTGAAATATGAACATTAATAAAATGAATACGATTTTTGCTGGTAAATTAACATGTTTAATTCAATTCGAAATAAATATTTTTATGTTGACTTAAAACGAACAAACATTTTTTGGCCCGGGAACCATTTCGTTTAGGGACTCATCCACAAACTTTCACCAAAATGTGGACATGGTATAGCGATGTATATTCAGTCTATTACTATTCCCTCGCTCGTATTTTTTATTTTCCCATCTTGGGAGCGGGTGTCCTTGCAGATTGTTTGGGCAATGAATTCGATGAGGGTTCGGGTTGGTCGGCCAGCCATTCCACGACGCAGATACTCAAAATCAATTCCGTTAGTGACCATTACATTGGTGGCATCCTGGAAGTATAAAACGAAGATCGATAATAGGCCCTGCATTATTTAAAGATCAAACTTACAATATGCATCCATTGACCGCATGGCACGAATTCTCGGAGGAAGGCGGCAGCCTTGCAGGGACGTCCACCACGGCCAATGCCGTAGTTCTGGACATCACTTCGTCCTCCAGCACGCACCGCCTTGCTGTAGTAGTTCCACAGGGGGAAGCGCCACACGCGATCTCCCGTGTGCATACTGGCGTTTTGATCTGTTGCCAAGATTTCGGAGTTTGTGAACACACCACAGGCAGCCTCATCTAGGGACTGACGCATATATCCCGAGCAGGTGCCAATGTCAATGATGCACTTGGGGCAAAGTTTTGGGCATACAGCAGCGCATCAGCCAAAACCAGCACATCTTCGTGATCTGTGCACTGAACCCTCAATGGTCTTGCCGTTCATGGATTTCACCATATCACCTGGTCGGAAGGAGTTGCAACCGACTACATTTTCGCACAAGGGAATCAAACCGCGAATGTTGACCTAAGAATTCAGATTACTAATAGTTCTAAGCTAACTGTAAGTATCTTACTGGTAATCGAAGTCCAGCTACCGCCCGACAGGTGGCCACCACCACAGCAGCTCCAGTCATATCACCACGCATGTGGAAGAGCTCTTGCTTTTTCTTTAAGCACAGACCACCAGCGTCGTAATTCCCTGGCCAACCAGTACGATGGGTCGCTCTTCGCACAGGTGCCGTAGTAACTGAGCTCCAGGAAAATTGGTGGTTCGCAAGAGGCTTTTCCAACGGCTAGAAAGGCGTGCATAGACTGGCTTTCAGCCCAACCCCTCGACCTTGACCTCGACGTTCACACCAGATTTACAGAGCACTTCGACGACGTTCCCTGGGCAAAGGCAGTAGGAGTCAGCAAGTTGGAGGGCATCTCTTGCAGCTGGCGCGTCAAGTTCTGAGCGGCAGCCTTTTTGCAATCCAATACGCCATCCTTCAATATCGCAGATCTCGTCCTTGGTGGCGTACAAATCGATGGCCGGAACGAAGATTCGGGTTTTGGGATCGCGCAGTTCCTGGTACAACCAAATGCCAAGGGCAGCTCCTTCGGCAGCAGATTCAGCATGTCCACAATTCTCCACTTCAATTCGGTCCGTATCCAGTTCTGCAAGAATACGACAGGCAGCGGCCACTGACCGTCGGATTGCTTCCTTCTGCTCATCCAAAACTTCGTAGGGATTGTAACCTAGACACTCCTTGCCCAGACCAACGACGGCCACCACAGAATAGTAAGGTATGCGTTCCGGCTCTACGGCGAACAGCAGACGGGCCTCACCTCTCCTGGGCATAGGTCCCGACATACGGAGAACCTCTATCAGACGCCCATTCGTTTTCTGAAGATTATACCGCCAACCGGCGGGAGTCAGGATACCGGCATCGTTCTTGTCCTCTTCATCCGCATAAACGCCTATGACCAAAGCTCGCGACGGCTGATCCGCACAGATGTCCATCTGCTGGAGTAACAGCATCTGGTTGATGGCCCTGCGAGACGTGGGGATCCTTTATGAATTTCGAGCATATTGGCGACACAGGGGCGACCGGCTGCAGACCCGGAATAGCAACTGACGCGTTTTACCGAACATTTCCCCAGTAGTTTAGATTATAGTACCCCCTTAAAAAAATTTTCCGAAAAAACTGGGAATTTATGTCCGTAAAATTTTGTTTCCAAAAAATTGGAAATTTAAAAAAAAAAAAATCAAAAACTAAACTAGTGTAACAACAGGCAATTTTTTACGAAAATTTTTTTCCTGAGTTGTTTACTCTACGACACGTTAACGGATACTAAAGCTATTGGAGCCGGCATGGGGCCAGGTAGCATATGGAATTGGAAGTCAGATGACGGATGGATCAGAGCCTTCTTGAAGATTCTACATAGCCTACGTAGATTGGTCGAAGTTCTTTGAATAATCATGAAGAAGTTAATGAAACGGTTTTAAGCTTTTATCTCTGAGTAAGCACATAAAAGATATTTTGCATTAAAGCAATCAATTAATACAAAATTAATAACAAATTTTCTTTAGTTTTGTTTATTAGTTTCCATACTCAGCATAATCAATTAGGTACAATTCTTTCATTAGGTAATACTGCTTAACATTTGAGACACAAACTAGACACAGACACGTACACTTATCGAGAACATTTTTTGGTAACGTACATACATTTTTTTGGTTTATTTCTCTTTAGCTACATAGAGTAGATATTCCTGTATATAAAATAACAATGGCTATCGAACGTCCTCTATCGTAATTCACTGCGACAATTCTTGTACTTATTGTGTGTAAATCGACCTTTGGTTGGGTTGCCGTTGCCTTGGGATATGTTTCAGTTTAAATGGCTTCAGATTCAGATTCCGATTCGATTCCTTTTGTTTGGTGGGGTGTGGTATTTGCGGTTCGATACGAAAATATGCAATTGAGATATAGTATATATATATATATACATATATATTTGTAGTTCATTCTTGATCTGGGGGCAACAGTTGTCGCGGAGTAACGAGAGTTCAACAGAGACTAGCGTAAACTTTGAAAGAGTGCAACAATCTAAGGGTGCGCATAGCACATAAGAGGCACATTAGTTATTTTGAGCAACAATAGTATAGTGACTAGAGTGTTAGACAGCTGTGAGTATCCAAGATGCTTGGTACTATCCGGTACTTTGGCATTTGTCAGCAAAAAAATACATCCTGTACAAGAGGGTGGAACGAAATGGTAGCTAAAATATAGGATAATACCTTTAAGGTTCGCTTAGAGGCTTACGAAGTTAAATCATTACATAAGTAGCCTAGGGGTAAGTCATTATATTTACAAGAACCTTTCCCTGGCTAACGAGGCGTATATGATACATATTTAAGGAGTGGAAGTTTTATAAAAAACACAAAAAAGAGTTCCACCCTTTGTACTTCCAATATAAAAACCCGATCCGAACAACCTTACATAGTTCGTGAACCAATCTTAAAGTGGCAATCACAAAATCGTGGTCACGGTTACGGGTAACCCATCAGCATTCACGACCTGCTCCGTTTGCACACGGGTGCCGAAGCTCTCTACACTGGTAGCCTTGCTGAGATCGATAGCCGGCACATCTTCGTCGTAATCGGAGGCCAGTTCCTCCTCGGCTAAATAGCTGCACTTGGTGCTCGGCACTGCTTTCACCTGGTGCTGTTCCTGCTCGTGATACAAGTGTGTGCGGTCCATATAGATGATCCCGTCATCCGTGTCGTCGTCTGTGTGACAAACCGGATAGTGACCGTAGCCCGCCTCGCACTGGTACGGATTCGACTTCACATGGACGTTCCGGCAGCTTCCGCCGCAGTTTTGGTGGCTCTCGGCATCCCCGCCATTTGCCCCATAGCACTGACCCCGGTGCAGCGAATGACCCACCGAGTGGCCACCAGAGTGACCTCCCACGTGGGCGTTCAATTGACCCACGCCAGCCGCGCTGCTGGAGTGGGCCACTGACTGCTAGATGTGGGAGTGGGAACGTGCTATCGACAACGAATACGGACTGAGATCCTTCTGGATTCGCATGGAGTCGTAAATGGGAAACTCGCAGCACAGAATGAACTTCAGGGCACTGGGAACCTCCACGTAAACGGCAGGAGGCACTGGGATTAGCGGCGAGGTTGAAGCCTTATACTTCCGGTACTCCAGCTGGCTGGAAAAAACAGGGGGAAAATATTAAATCACAATCATTAGATAGTTATGAGTTATTAAAAGCCATGTTATGCTTAGTTTAAGCCTAGTTTACTTACTCTTTGTACTTTTCATCGGCACTTCGTTCTCGCAAAGGTATGCCTGACAAGAAAAGGATGATCATTGTGGTAAAAATGGGTGAGGCAATCGCCACCCACTCATGGCCGCTGATCACATTCAGCGATATGGCAAAGATGCCCCACCAGATGACTACCTCGCCAAAATAGTTGGGATGCCGTGACACGCTCCACAGGCCTATTAAAGATAACTTATCAAATCGAATCTTTAGAACTTATCATTGTTTCCTTACCATCATTGCAAAATTTGCCCTGATTGGCTGGATCCTGGCGGAAGGAGAACTTCTGCAGATCCGCATAGGTCTCCGCCAGCAAACCAACGATGAACATGCCCGTTCCCGTGGAGTCCAATGTGGTCATGGTCTTTGGGGCACGCGGCTGAGAGTGGCGCGGTGAGTTGATGATTATTACAGGCAGTGACACAATGTAAACCCATACGGCCTTAAAATAGGAATTGAATAGTTAGGGTAAACCTTATTGGTAGTCTTAATTTAAGTAATTTTACTCATTAAGTTCTCGAAAAAGCCTGAAAATATACAAAAAACACCAGAGCTTGATGGACCTTTCACTGCATTTACAGTTAAAATGCAATTTTTCCAAGCACCTTTCCAATTTCGGCTGTTATTTTCAGATTGCAATGACAGTATTTCAACCGGCAACAAGTGATTGGAATTGGGGGAAAATGCGAAATAAATGGAGACAAAACGATGGCGGGACATGCCACATGCAGCACGCCAACGCCAATGCCGACAGCCCTACAGACACAATGAAGGCCGGACGGACTGCAACCACCCACTTGGCACTAGCCACCAACAATCAACCACCAACACCCAATCCCCAATCCTCAACCCACTCAACGTTTAGCTGGCGTCGCCCACATGTGTCATGTCATTCTGCCAGGGAGAAATGGCGTTTTAATTGTTGGTCGGTCTGGTCCTGGGCCTGGGTCTGGGTCATGGGGTCTGGGCAACATTGAGATTACCATTTCCACCCATGTCGGGCGGTCGACAGGTGCTGAAATATGAAATATTCAAAACCTTTGAGTGCGTGTCAATTAGTGACAGTTTGATTGATTTTCCACCTCCAAGTTGAAGGTTCTGTCATTGAGAATCGAATTGAAAAGTGGCTGACGCAACCGATTGGTCTAGTCGTGAACTACCCACCAGAACTCACCTGGAAGGTCCAAAAGACCGCGTAGCGTATTATGTTGCGGCGGGTATCCTCGAACTGTTTATCCCGGCCCAACTTTATAATGCGATATAGTAAATAACCGGAGAGCCTCACGCCCCAAAGGCAAACAAATAGTGTCACCATCAACTGCCGACTGTCATAGGCCTGAAAATAAAATGAATATTGTTTAATCATAAACATAAAGAGCGTAATATCTAAAATTAGGTACGTTTAATGCGTTAAAATATCATTTTAAGTTATAGGTTAAACACTCACTACTCTAAGAAGAGGGTTTCCAAAATCATTCTAGCTTTAAATCAAAAATCTTTAAAGAGCAAAGTTTCATAGAGGTGGGTTATGTTCCAACCCCTTAAAGATGTCGGTGGGCCATAAACTGACGTATATGGTTGGATCATGTCCGCATTGCAATAAACATTTAGTGGTTGCCATTCTGCCGAATGAGAAATATTCGTGGGCAATTGAGGAAGGCTCGGCTAAAGTTCGAGTTCAAGGCTAAGCTGCCTGCTATCCTTGGACCGGAAGGAACTCTCGTAACTATTTTAGTATCTTCACAATAACAAAGGTATTTACCTCCACCTATACCTAGGGTATCTACCAATTCGTACCCACACCTCCAAGCGTACGAAAATTCATTGCCCAACGAGCAATTTGCACGAATTTTTATTTTTGCAGGACTAAAAGAAGAATGTTTTATGTATTTTTTTCGGGTGGATATTTTATTTTACAAAACCACTTTCGGTGGTCATGCAAATTTTGCATAAATAAAGCGGAGCACGCACCAGTGCAAGTGGTGGCCCGTGCCATGGCTAAGTGGCCACGGGGCAGTCGGGTTGGTTCAATAATGAATGAGTCGACTGCACATTTTGCATATTTATAAACGGCATTGACGGGGAAACTGAATCAGAAATGCATTTCGCATGGAGGAGTGGCTCCTTCGTCAAACGTCGTCATGAAAAATGCAGGCAAAAATTGTTAAATTGCTTTGTCAATGGCAGTGAACAGGCGGCTCATGACCGTAACCGCCAGCCAAAGTCAGCTGCAGGACGAGGTCATGGATAAGCGAGACTTGGCTGTGGAATATGTAAGGGCAATTTTATTGAGGGGCCCCCAAACAGTTGATAGTTTAATGGGTTTGTCAGTTCGCAGAGCAGAGTCTTGATTGCCCATTTTGTCGTTTGATTGAGCTGCCTTTCAGTCCGGGGCTTAAGCTATTTTATCGCTCGATTTATTAAGCGAGTCTGAACGGCGATAAACCATCGACAGGCGACTGCATATGGCGGCAGTAAAGCATTTTTATGGCCATCCTACACAGCTGCAACACAGAGCAACAACAATAGTGCCGAACAAGCAACAACAGCCACAAGCAATGGCAGCACTTCCGTTTCCGGCTGACGTCCTGCGTTCGCCATTCTCCTCCTGCCATCATTTCCGCGGCATGACTTTAAATAAATTTTGCATTGCTAACTTAATGAGTGGCAAGAGAAATTTCATTTTAAACTACGATCGATATTCAATTTGGAATTGCCACAAAAATTGTGACAGCAGAAATTAATTGAACGTTAGTTCGTATGGAATTATTACTTCGATATTTACTCCTTTGTTTATTTTGCATGGCTGTAAAAATGTGGGAGGACAAAATGAATGTGTGTGGTCGGAGAGAGATTTTAAACTTTGGTTTTCCCTTGATTGTTTATTTGGCACACAAAACCAACAACAGAGAAGAATGAATTTATTTCTCAATTTGTATATACATTGTGCCGTGCGAATTGTTATAAGCCCTTAACAAGCTTTCATGGGCTATTCAGTAAATCGATACATTGAGGGGCATTTAAAACTGAAACAAAAGCTTTTACGGTCTTCGTTAAATGCGAATTTCTCTTTAATCTTATCAAAGTTTAATTAATTGTGCAAATATGTTCTTATCAAGTTATCTTCAAGGGGATTTAATGATCTGAAAATGGCTATAAAGATACTTTATTTTAATTATAATAAAATAGCCTTAAGTATGCCAGTGTCAGCCGTTAAGATAAACAGCAATTTTTGCTGTTAATGCCAGGATAATGAAGAGCATAATTATGAAAATTGAAGCCAATATAATTTCTCTCTCTTTGTTCATCCTTCGCTGGTTATATTTGGCTTTAAAATTATGATAATCTTAATTAAAATCTTTGAAGAGCTTTTAATGAAAGTTAAATATGTGTTTAATATAAATTACATCTATAGAGCTGGAGGTAGAAATCTGTCAGCATTGTGGATAAGAATCAGCTTCTAGGTTGTGGTCTCCTTAATGTAAGTGAAGTTTAATATTTAATAACAAGAAGATACCAATTTTAGACTCACTTTTGTTGTTCCAATAAGCTTTTTCTATAGCACCTCTAATGGGCTGTCAATCTCCAATCAAGGCAAACATAATTAGCCCATTTAGCACCTTGTTAATGAAAGGGAAAACTACGAAATTGGCCATCAAGTTGGATTAATTAATTGAAAATTGTGGTCCATTTTGCAGTGGCGTTGGATTGGTTCTTTCTTTCGCCTTCAAGCTGCCCGTAAATAGCGTTAGTTAGCTGCTTAGGCAGCGTGTTAGTCTGGCGGAAGGACACGCCGACAGACAGATTGAGGACCCTCACGATGCCAAGGTCATGCTCAGCCAGAAGGAGACCTACAAGCTAACCAGATACCCAGCCACCCAGCTACCCAGCTACAGCAACTACAAATATAACAACAAACGGAACAACAGCAAACATCGAGAAACAACAGCTGAAATGTGGGCCTCGGTGGGCGTAACCTTTTGTTTGTTGGCAATGGCTGTGTTTTCTGTTTGTATGCGTTGATGTCTGTATCTGTGTATCTGTGTGTCTATGGCCGCGTGCGTATGCAAAACTCAGTTTTCAATGTCAGCAGCCGAAACCACCGAAGCCCAACCATTGCCCATTACCCAGCATTTACCCACCTAGCACCCAAAAATCCACCCACTGCAGCAGCCCCTTCACGACCAGTTGGGTGACATGTTTATGGTCACGATTCAAGTTCAACGAATTAAATTTTACTGAAAAAATCCACATCCCAATAAAAGCTAACGAGCTACTAAACAAAATAAACAGAATGGCTCATAAATTATGCATTGTTAAAACTTCAACGAGAGCTATAAATTATTCACAGCATATCATATAAGATATATATTATATTTTGTATGTATTTGGCTTTTCAATATTAATGCAATATTCGTACGATTATTTTCCTGTCGAAATTGCTTTTTTCATAAGGCTAATACCTTATGAATTCATTTTAAATTAGTTAGTTTAAAATAAGTTTAAACTTAGTTTTCTTGAATATAAAGTCAGCATGAAGTGGGTATTAGAAGGTAATAATAACCATTATTATCTCCATTTTATGTTAAAGAAACTAAATAAAAATTTAATAAATAAGTATAAAATGCCAAGGAGATAGTAGTCTCAAATAGGTGATACTAAAAACAAGTTAGTGTACAGAATGAATATCCTGGATCCACTTACCTTCGATGGCCGATCAATTTGTCCAAGGAAGAAAGTCAGCAGTGAGATGATGATGAAATTAACGCCGCCGGCAAAGTCCGTTAGCTTGTCCATTTGTAGCATGGAGTTGATCAGGAAGAAGACCAGCTGCAGAGTGCCCACAACGATGGCGCTGATGGCGAAGTGATCGTAGTCCAGTACATTTACGGCCATTGTGGCTGTGGACGGCTTTCACCTTTCACCAGGCCTTTCACCAAACGCTTTCACCCAGTCCAGTATTTTATGGTAGGGTCGGCAACAGGTACTCCTCCTCCTTCTGCTCCTGTTCCTGCTCCTGCTCGTCCTCCTGCGCTCTTCGTCTGTTCTTTAATATTGCAAAATGTTGTGCCTTCACATTGCTTCACTCTCACACTTTGTCCAACGCCTCATCCAAAAGTGTCTGTGCCACTCCCTCCGCACCCAGAGAGCTTTACATTCTGGGATGGGTGAGTGGGCGATGGGTGGTGGTTCGTTCGGTGGTGCTGCCTGTTGGATGGCTGGGTGGTTTTGTGGCGTTGGCTGCCAGCCAAGGAGTATCTGTGTTTTTTTTTTTTTGGGGCCGCTTGTTGATTACGTATTTATGTGATGATTGTTTATTTGGGGTCGCCTCTGCAAAATGCAATAAATAATGCAATTTGTATATGCTGTGGCAGCTGCAAGTTATTTGCTAAATGAAAACTTAATTCAATTTCCCGCGCTCAACGGCACGCCAAGAGCATCATCCTCCGCAGCACACAAAAACCACACATATTTCCCCCTTGCCCTCGTGCTATTTAAATAAATTTTGAGCAAAACCATCTCGACATGGCAACAATCTCAAGCTGTTCTTGTAAGGCTGTGTGCATTGAGCCGGCAAATCGTTGGCAAAACGAAGACTCCAGCAACACGCTATCCTGGGGCAGTGGTGTGGAAAAGGGCTTGACATGAGGTGCTAAATCTACTCCTCCAAGTAATAAGAAAAAAAGAATTATTAATGGGAGAACAACTTTAAAAATCTCCTTATCCGTTTTTAAATGAGCCATTAATCAAGTTGTACTCATAGAAAATGCATCTAATTAAGACCCTTTGAGGTCTAATCAAATTATACTTAAGACCTTCTTAGAAGCCACTGATAAATTAATCAAATTAATGAGGATAATAATTACTTAAAGCCGCTTATTGAGTCATAAGTCCCCCTTCAACGAAATCCCACTTAAGCCACTGATCTGGGGTGAAAGTGTGGGCTGGAATGGTTTATATGGCACATACTTGAGCTGGTTGGCTTAACTTCTTGAGCCTTTATTTGCCTCTTGGGCTTGACTGCATTTGCACTGCTCTTCCTTTGCGGCCCCTCAACTATCCAAATATCCACACACTGGCTGCTTCAATGATACTTATTTGGCCAACATGGCCAGCCTGCATGCATAATTAACAAACTGAAATGGTTATCTATGATGCAGTCTGCAAATCTGACCCCCACAAGTATGTTGCAATTTATAGAGCTTTCGGTGGCAGAGCCCCAGGGAATCGATTTTCAAACTGGGGTTAATGGAGAGTAGAGAATGGTGAATGGCCAAGCTGTCCAAAATTTACTGTCCACGGATTAGCTGTGCCTGAAATGCCCATAGAATGTGCTGTGGTTTTCTGCTTTGCTTTGCTCTGAAATTGCGACTCAATTAAATAAACATTTTTATTGTTGATTTCGGACATTTTAATCGTTTTCATTTGATTGAGTTGTGGCATTTCAAATCCTTTTTTCATTCAAGTTTAATTGACTCAATCATGTGGCAAAAAATGAATGCTGCTTTTAAAAGTTATCCCATGATGTTTAAGATGCTTTTAAAACTTAACTTTTCCTATTAATAACTTTGGCTGGAATTAATTTTTACTATTTGGTAATTAAAAACTTCTCCTGCTTTTATACGTTTTTATTAAGTCATTCAATTTCTTTCATTCTCTTCGGTAACTCTTAATAAGACTTAAACTGGAAAATAAAGTTTATGGCAGCTGTCAAAACTTTTTACCGCTGAAAAGTTTTCGTTGCATTATTTGACCGCGTTATAATCTGCATTTTTAATTAATTTTCTGAGAATTACATCCGTAATTTACTACCAAAACACCGTAGGCATTTGTTCTACTTAATTAAGTTCACATTTCCGGATAATTTTAATTTTCTGCCGACATATTATTAAAAGGATTTCCTGAGAATTTATGTGTGTTTTTCGAATAGGTAATTACATTTTTGGTAATTACTTTTTGGCTTTGCAATCGTGTGGGAACTTTTCAAACTCATGAATATCGGAAAATGAAATGCAAATTGGACTTGGCTTTAAGCTAATTGGCGATGTCGGGCCCACAAGCTAAGCTAATCCCATTCGCGGGAAATTCCCGGCAGCCCTCCAGAGGGCCCAAAAAGGTAGGCAATGCTTTTTGTTCTTCGCATTTTACCAAAGAAATGCATCAGCATTGCACATTCATTAAAGTAACACCCGCGGCGTATTCAAGGCCCAAAAACAAAGGCTGCAACCGTGTTAAACTTGTGCCACCTGCTGAGAAAAAAAAAAGAAATACACCTTTGTGTATGCAAATGTGTAGTCAGTCAGCTGTGCTGTTGCCACTTGGCTTGCTCCCCCCTTTGTTGTCATTGTTGCTGTTGTTTGTGTTACTTTGAGTTTTTGTTACACAATAAAGAAATATTGGAAGAAATTATTTATGAAATTTTAGCAAATGAATTTGTAAATCTTTTCTTTAAATTTCATCCCACTAACTGTTTAATATATTTTAGGCATGGGAACATAGAATATAGTTCTAAGCCTAAAATCTTTCGGCAAACAGTGAGGTTCCCTCAGAAATCTCTTAAAAATTCTGCAGTGTACTTAACACAGCTTGGCAACGCGTGGCGTCGTCTTCGGAGTGCTGGAATCTGAGCGGACAGGGGTTATACGTAGCCGCAAGACATTGACAAGGTGTCTGCCAGGCTGTCACTCACACTCACCGCAACTCAGTGCAGTTTGTTTGTTGTTTTCCCTGGGCTAAGTTGTCTGTGTATAACTGTTTCTGTGTGTGTGTGTGTGTATGTGTGTAGAGCAAAGCTCAGGAGTGAATTTGCATATACGACAAGGACCTAAGAACCCCGAAGTCCGCTCCCCCACGAATTCTTCTAGCCTAACGAATAGTTTTTTCCCAAGCTTTGCCCACTTTTAAACGCATTTTCGCGTGCTTTGCATTTTTCGCCAGCCAGTCGTTTGCCATTGTCGCCACCTTCTTGTGGGCATTAAGGTATGCCAGCTATGCAGTTTTCCTCCAACAATTGAACAAGAAAAGCCAATTTCGATGGGGTTGTAGCTAATATATTTTGACAAATGGAATGAACCGGGCTTTGCAAATAGAGTGGAAAGATTTGTCAAGAGTTGGTAACCAAGAAACTTTTATTGCTGACCTTGAAATGTATGACATTGAATATAGTGTCAAGTATTAGAGTGGAACAAAATTTTTTACTCTATTAATTTATAATTTTATATATATTTCTATGATAGAGAATTCTTTTATATTATATGTGAAAAGTTGTCTAAGCAACACAAACAAACGAAAGCTTGCTTAAAATTATTCACACCTCTTTAAACTGCAACACGATAAGTTCACACCTTTTCTCGTGTAAATACATGTGTTGTGCATTAGGGCAAAATATCCAGAACAAATTGAATTTAACCCTTAACCCATTACAAAACATTTCACGGTCGAGCCAAGACAATTCTCGATTTACCCCGCGATTTTCAACTATTTTCCGCTGCAAGTATTTGTTTTCCTGTGGGCGGGTGTGTGTGTCAGCTAGTGTTTGTGGGTGCTCTTGGCACTGAAATTGCAGCCATGTAATGAAATTGGCTGCGGTTCAACGGTGCGTATGATTAACTTTATGGCAACGGCAAAACGGAGGACTAAAGAACTTCCATTTAGTGAGCAGCGAATTGCCCTGCTATACTGGTTACACCACTTACTCGGCTGCCTGTTTGCCGTTTATGCTAATTGTTGTCATAGTTCCGGAATAACGTTGGTGTCCTTAAACTGACACTGGCAATTAGGCATCTGTCACGATTTTACGTCTGTGTTGACCTTATTGATTGCCTGGTCTGGATGTCGCTAGCAATTAATGGTGTCGAACATTCTCAGCTGGCGACAAAACCTAATTTAATTATACCACACCGACCACAACTAGCTGCATCAACATGCAGCTTAACCCATTATTTGGTAATGGAATCACGTTCGCTGCTTTCGACAAAGCCTAATTGATTCTATGATATGCCAAAATTAGAAATTTTTGGTTTTCGGTTGAAAATTAAAAATAAAATGATTACTTTTAGCTCTCAAATAGAAATTAATAGGAAGCTTAAAACGTGCTTAGGTACTGAATTTCTTCTAAGTAAACGCATCTGTAAAATTAAAGTTTGCAGTGTGATATCATCCCCAGGACATTCCTGCACTCATTTACCCTAATGTTTGGCCATACCAAGGATTCTGCTGAGTAATCCGACGAAATTGTTTTTTCCCCCAAGGCCTGGGAAATGGAAATGTATTAAACTTAAAAATTCATAAAGTGCAACTCATAGCCGGGCAATTCAATAAAGTCGAATCCATATTGAATTGACTGCCAGCGAAGGGAAATCTCCATAAATAACGCATTCTGTTCGGCAAGATTGGCACTTTATGTAATCCCACAGAACATCGACAAAGGACAAGGCGTGGGAATTGACTTAATATGGGCAGCATGGGCACCTTGAACTTCGACAGAGTTTGGCCAAGGACTTTTTTTCGGGGGGAAAAGGACGCGGACATGGACGTGAACGCGGACAAGGAGCGAGAACTCAACGGGTGGTCGCCTGAAGGAATATTGACGTTTTTTCAATTAAACCTGGCCACCGCCAGGCACTTTGGCGGTTGTATTTATGGCGTTCAGTTGGTTCTATTTTTATGAGGGGGCGGACAAACAAATGGGTACGAGTGATGTGTCTGTGCCTGTGTCAATAGTGTAACTGAAGCTTTTCCAGCTCGCTAGTTACATATACATATATGTATATGTATAATATACTCATGCATGTATAGACATAAGCTATATTCCATATCCTGTGGCAGATAAATAAATCGTTCAGGACAGAAGCTAAGCGGAAAAAAACAAGCGTACACACACGCACTGTTATGTACACCACAAGCACATACACACACACACATTCGCACGCGTTTAGTAAGAGACATTAGAAAGTGTCTTTCGGGTAACTTTGTCCGCCTTTTCCCGCTTTTCCAACGTTGACATAAGTGGGAAGTCAAGCTAGTTGGACACGCGCTAAGTTTTACAATTTCCCGCTGAAGGTCTCGCCGCCCTCTTTTCCTGCGACGCCTCCTTCCCCCACCTCCCCGACACTCCTGTCGACCTGCCAAACAACTAACGCACATTTCCGTTTCCGCTTATGCCACAAAATGGCCAAAAGTGGCCGCCATTGATGGCCTGGTGATTAGTTATAATTTTTTTTCTTCTACCAACGAATCTGCTTAATTCGCTTCTTGTTGCCGTTGTGGCTTTGGTTTTTATTGCTGCTATTTTTTGTTGTTCTCGATTGCAGCCAGCATCTACGAGGCGAAAACAAACGCACCAGCACCGCCGCGCTTTTTTTGCGAACGGAAAGAACTCTGGCGACCGACGCAACAGACGACTCCGGGTGAACTGAAATCCACTGTCTCCTCTCCCACAGCAGCAGCAGCGCAATTTCTGCTGCAAGCTGGGAGAAAGCCTCTCTCCGAAAAGCAGTGCGCAACTGCTTGCTGCGTAGCAGGCGCCAAGTTCAAAAGTACTTATTTTGTCTATCATATTTCTTAGGGTGCCGAGGCAAAATCTGAGTCTAGACTCCGCCAGCGAGGGTTAATGGAAGGTCCCATAAACCTGATATTAATAATATCCATAGTCAACACACAAACACACGTACATACCTTCTAATCAGCAAGCGTAGGCATAAGTCAATCAGTCCTCGTGTCTACATTCGTGCGTAAGTAGTCCTTGTGCTCACTTCCGAAAATATCACTGTTGAACGGAAATCAAGCTCTGAATAAATGCACATCCAATCTGAATATGTTTTAATTTAAGCGGGAAATACAACGAAAGTAAAAGGAGAATCTAGCGATGGCTGAAAATCGATAATTTGATATCGGATACCGATAGGTGTCCAACACAGTAATGACCGGATGATGTATCCGCTATATAAGATAGGTGTACTCGATAATTGGGACAGATTGCTATATTGGCTAATGAGAATAGGTGTGTGTATTTGCTGAACGTTACATTATCTCAGTGAAGAGCAACGGTCACTCTGCAACAGCTGTTCGAAACTAGGAAGTCGCAATTGCTCCTTGGATTTTTTGATTTTTGTGGGCAACTCCTGCGTTGGAGACGGCGGTTGCGTAACAGAGCGCTTATTCCTGGTCGGCATTTGCAGTTCCAGAATGGCGTTGGCTCTGCGCGTGGCTAGATTCGGCTCCGTCCCAGCCAACTGTTGGCCCCGGGATCCCCGGCGACTGTTACACCTGTGCAGCAGGTGAGAACCTGACCCCAATTATCAATCAGCATTAAAATTCAATTATCTAGCAACAGTGATAGCCGGCCGATATTATTACGGAGCAGGAACTACACCACAAAGCCCGAAACCGCTTCCCCTGCGCAATTAAAGCGAAATGTGGCCGCCGAAATAACCAGCGTGGGTAAGGTTATCTACGAAACGGGATGGGATGCTAACAAACCCTCTGAGAAGCCAAAGATTCCGCCTAGCAGCTGCTCCACCCCAACGCCGTCAAAGAAACCAGAGGACGAGAAGCGCAAAGAGCTGGAAACTATAAAATCCAAGCGGGATCAGATGAGAGACAATATGCAAGACTACATATTCACCCGTTATTTTAACTACGTCAAGAACTATGACAAAGTGCTCGAAAAGAACTTTCCAAAAGCCATGCAGCTTTACCGAGTATTCTTCGACGGCGTCAAAGACTTCTTTGGCGACATGAAGCGTTTCCTTAAGATTGCACGCATAGCCAACGACTCGCCGCAAGGAATCAGAGCCCTAAATCGTCAGGAACTGGAACTTTACATGCAGATGCCGCGGGACATGATGAAGGTGGCACCGGCTCTTATTGGCTGTTCCTTGCCCATGGTCGGCTACGCGTTCTTTCCGTTGGTGTAAGATATCCCTTGGGTAAAACTTCTCGAATGTTATAGCAATTAGATGTTCTCCTTTTTAGCTTTTGGTACCCTCGCTCCTTTCTTACTGCCCACTTTTGGACATCGCAGCAGCGCTCCGAGTTCCAAAGTTACTACATGAAGCGGCGACTGGGCAACAACAAGGACGTGTTTCGCTGCCTGCAGGCTAAGCTGAAGGCAACTGCCTCCCATCCGAAGCATTCTGCTTTTGCTGATATCCTTGGACAGCTGGGCAGCGGTACACACCCCACGCCAGAGATGCTTATCGATGTTAAGGACATATTTGCCGACGGACCCTACTCCTTGTTGGGAATGTCCCGAAAACACGTCGTACGTTTGACCACAAAAACAGATGGTGCATATCCCTAATACATATATTCCAGAGAAACCTAGTCAACCTTCATGGCCTGCCTAGCAGCATCTTCAAGAGACACCGCCTTCACGAGCACGCCTTTCTGGTGCATTACATGGACCAGGCCATTACCCGAGAAGGTGGCGTTCACAATTTGACCCCGGACGCCCTCCGTTACTCCTGCTATCTGCGCGGATTGAATCCCGACAGCCTTAGCAGCGAGGCCATGATAGACTGGCTACGGAAGTGGGTCAAGGTATCCACATCAATACAAGGCGAACATATCACGCTGTTCCTGCACTTGCCTATCCTGCTGGGTTATAACCATCCCAACAACTGGAAGACCATCTACGGCAAATGCCCCACTTGAACGAATCCTTGTTCGTTCTCTATTTGGTAGACTGTGCTTTAAAGATTGGACTGTTAAGAGCATATTGTTTCTTGAGAGCAAATAAAACTGTTAGACCCAAAAGAAAAATTGGCGGTGTGCGTGTGTTTTTCCTAAAAATAACACTTTCTTTTATTTTTTCCATTGTGGTGGATGTTCATCAAGCAGTTACTTTCGTTAAAGGTAGTATTTTTACTTCTTGGCCGCGGCCTTCTTGCCACCCTTGGCCTTCTCAGCACGCAGACGCTCGCGACGATCCTTCTTCAGGACGCGGGGAGTGCCGTCAGCCTTGGTGCGCTTCTTCAGTGTGTTGAAGGCGATGGTCAGCAGCTTGTTGCGCTGACGCTTGGCATAACGCAGCTTGAAGCGGTCAAAGTCGTTCAACGAGGAGCGCTGCAAAGTAATAAATTCTAAATTAACACATGTTTATCGGTAAAGATTAGGAATATAGTTAGCTTATATTGTAATCAGATAAAATAATAGTAGCTTCATATATGTGTCAGCCGGCAATTCCTATCAAGAACTTTCAACTATCATCATGTGCAGTTAAAAAAAATTTTCTAAGAGAAGAAAGTTTAACACTGTCTGAAGAGCTTAATAAGAACACTTTATCATTCAAAATGAAAGGGTATCAAATTTTTGAATTGTGAACAAAACACTCTGTAGTATAAGTTAGTTAAAAAAAAAATGTTTCTTTTGAAGGCCACCTTTGACATTGGTATGGGAACTACAGAATGTGGTTAAACAATTTCTTCTCTATCTCGGCTATCACATTCCTTATATTTTATCTTCCTAGATCCCGTACATACCTTGCAGATGTTCTGTGCCTTGACGGACCAGGGGCTGACCTTCCACTGGGCCTTCAGGTCGCTCTCTGTCCAGGCCTTGCGGACGACGCGCGTAGGCGCGGTGTAGGGGAACTTGATGCGGTACTTGGTCAGGTGCAGATTGCTCAATCTGTATTCCTGACGGGGCACGCCAGTCAGAGGACCATCGACCAGCACCTGTAGAGTAAACCAAAGATTAGTTAGGATCCATTTATTAAAGGTTAAGGGTAACAGCAACAAATACGATGCTTGCTTGCTTGCTTTCAGTGGGTTAAACTAGCTTCATTTATGTGTCAGTTGGCACTTCCTATCAAGAAGACAAATTATCATCATGTGCAAGAGCTGGCCATCGGCATTTTGTTGCTGCACTCCCCTGCTGGAATAATGCACTTACTCTGTTTTGGTCAATGACGTCGACAATGGCCACCAGGCGCCCCTTCAGGGGACCTGCGGAGGCCTTGGCAATGCGACCAGTTTGTACGAATCTCTCGAAAGGCTGCAAGAGATAAATATCCATTAAAAATGGCTCCAAATATGTATTTTAAGTGTTGCATGTTCATCGCGTTGTTGTGTTGGTGTCCACCACGTGAAATATTTCAAAGGCAGATTTCGAATAATATTTTTTGGCTTCTGAATCGATTTCTCAATTCGCATGTTCAACACACCGACCCGATTACTTGGCCGCCAGATTTAATTCATCTCCGGTCTTTGGGACCGCTTAATTTTCACATTTTTCAACCGATCCGGAGAAACCTTCGTCGATTCTTACCATGACGCTAACCGGAAAGAAAGAGAAGGAAAGAACTTTTTTGACAGCTCTGCCTCAACATGGCGTTACATGGTTGCATTACGGTTAGTGTTGGGTAGGACAAATTAATAAGGCAGTATACCGATAATGGTATAAAAAGTATATTCTTTAAGAGTCATTTTTATTTTACTCTTATACGGTTACACTGTCTGCCAGCGGTATAAAAATAAACAAAAATAATATAATATCGAAAATTAACTAATAACTTATTCAATTATTCCAAATTGCACAGTTAACCTCTATTAAACCTCGAACAAAATGGTTTACATACACTTTCCTACTAATTTAACAGAAGAGGAGCAGATGCTGCAGGCTAAATACCAAAAGTTGAAGAAAAAGGTAAAGATTTCCTAAAAATGTAAATCTGTCTTCTTATTAAATGTTTGTTGATCCTATAGAAAAAGGCTCTGCAGGCGCACAAGGCTCCCAAACCGGAGCCGGAAAGTTCAATGACTCTAAAGCGTCCAACGGATGCTCGTGATGCCCGCGAAGTGGCCAGGAAACTCATCAAAAGCGGCGCCATTCCCGCCATCCAAAAGCAAACCAAACAGGATCAAACCTCCTTCAAGCGACCCAAGGGCCAGGAAAGGGCCAAGCGCTCTACTTCAGAGACTAGCGTCGCCTCCTACCAGCCTTTCTCGTCGACCCAGAACGACGTGGCCCAGGAGACGATCATTAGCGAGATCATCAAGGAGGAGCCGCGTCGGCAGAATCTCTATCAGCATTTTGCCACTGAGCGAGATCGCGAGGAGCGCGGCATGCCGGAGAAGGTACCAATTGACACAGTACAGCCCGAGAAACCAAGGGCCGGAAATACCATTTTCGTGTCCGGCAATAAGGTCACTGAAGACTTTCTTAAGAAGACTTTCAACGACTATGGCACTATTGTCAACGTTTCCATGGAGATCGAAAAGAGGTAATTATAAAAAGACTAGCTGAATATAAAAATTACAATAATTATCTTCCTAATACCATTTTGCAGTCGTGGCTTTGTTTCCTTCGCCAAACCCGAGTCTGCAGATCGGGCCATTGCAGAAATTCATGGCAAAAATGTGAATGGCATCAACTTACAAGTGCAGCTGGCTAGACGTCAGCCACAGATTGAGCCCATTAACGATGCATCCTCTTCCGCAGTTTGGTCATCTATTGGTATGTACTTGAAGTTAATCCAAAGTTTCACTTTTAACATCTTGTTTGTTTTTAGCTGCCAGCAAATCGCAGAAAGGCAGCCACAAGGATCACCGCGAGATGGTTCAATACGATGACTTCTTAATGTAAAACCCCAAAACTTTCAAGGCATAGTTTATACATTTAGCTTGTTATTTACTCCCTTTTGTTTAGTAAGAAAACTCAAATCTTTTTATTTTATATAATTTTGCTTTATTGAAAATACGCTTCTATATATTTATGTATATATGTTCACTTTCTGGTTAAGTACTCGCATTTCAAATTATAACGTTCAAATGAATTCAATGAAAAAGAGTGTGTTTTGTATATTAATTCCTACTTTTTGGTCTAAATTAAACAACAATTTATTCAACAATTGAATCTCTCGCTTTGACTTATGTGGTAGAAAAAATGAGCAAACAAAATGTTTAATGTGTTTATTGGATTAGTGGTCCTCGCTCCTTCTGCGCATGAAACTGAAAAATCTATGTACATAGCATTGTTAAGTACATAGTTAATACATGGTCGTTGCTTCTGTTGCTCTGCTGTTTTCATAGATAGATCTCTATATCGTTGGTAGACAATGTTGAAAAATGTTCCCTCTATATTTTTTTGTTAGTACAAGTTAGATGTCGGTATGTGTCTGATGATGGATCATTGAACTGGGATTCTGGTATCGATTGTTTTGTGTGACTAGTAGCACGGGCACTCCCCTCGCCCATTTCCGCCCCCATTGGCGCACCTCTCCTAAAGTAATTTCTCGTTAGTATCATTAAGGCCTTCAAGTTTCGAACGGACACCTGGCCGCGTTTAAATTCGTTTCTTCTTCCCGCCAAGACTCTTGGCCGGATTCGATGCTCCAAAATGCAAAACCGCCCCAAAGAATAGCAAAACCATGTTGGGACTCCCCACAGTCCCTCACGCTTGCCGACCGTGTTCGTTTCCAGGCGGATTAAAGTAGTCCCAGTGGTGTGTGTGCACCTGTCGTCCGGTTAGCAGGAAAATCAACACTCCGAACGTGATCAGGATGAAGAGCACCATCAGTGCAGATATGTTACGTGGGGCCTGCTGTGGTTCCACCGCTTCGCCGCGGACGTAATGCGTCAGCTGGTTAATAATGTTAACTAACTCCAGACTGCAGGCGGAGATGAACTGTCGGCCAGCCAGAACGACTGTCTTAGGCTGATCCTCGTCGTAGTCTTCTTCCAGAGGCTGGGTGGCACTACGGGTACGTGATCGCCGTGACCGTGAACGTGGTCGCTCTACTAAGTGCTCCTCTACTTCAGAACCGGATTCTGGCTCCAAGTGCTCCTGTACATGACGACGTCGACATTTATGTGGTGCTTTTCGGTCGGCTGCTGATAGGGCTTCCGCCTGTTCAGCCTCAGCGCTGCGCTGGAGATTGTAGAAGGCAAGTGGAGCCAAGGACTGGAGGTACTCTACACTGGGATAAGCCGATGGCGGTGGAGGCAGAGGTAATAGACCAGCCTCCGTTTGAGTCTGCTCGTCCAGATTGGCAACCTGTGGCGATTGCTCGGTGGTCTTGCTATGACGTGGTGGTTTTACAGGTAACTCCTTCTCGGAGGTGGCGGGTTCGCTGCTGGCCTGTCGGCTAGTCTGAGTTTCGGTGGTCAGCAAAGAAGGACGCTGTTCTCGTACCCGCTCTACAATGTCATCAATAAATCCGGGTGGCAGTTCAATGTTTTGCACTACCAGTTGTCCAGACTTGCATTCCAGATCATCTGCTTTGATCTGACCTCCGTGAAGCTGCGATACCTGGATCTGACCAGCCTGTAGGGCATGTACTCGCAGCCGTTCGACCTCCAGTTCGGCAAGTCGGCTAGGGATTTGCGGTTCTGGCGGAGATTGCAAAGTTTGAATAGGCGTAAGTTCACGGCTGGACTGTTCGGCAATGGTTAGGACGGTGGTGGCAATTGGTTCTAGAGCTGTCGTAGACTTGCGGCGTGGTGGTGGCAAAGGAGCCTCCTCCACTTCCTCCTCTTTGTCTTCAAAAGCAGGTTCGGTGGGCAAAGTGGCCACAAATTTGAGCTCAACTTCAGCCGTGGTGGGTTCAATAGCGGTGGATTTCTGAATTGGTTCCTCAACTGCTGGGAGTTCGGTCTCAGGCTGTTCCGTGTCAGAGAGAGTATGCTCTTCCTCAGAAAGTGGCTGTTCACCATCGGACAACGGATGTTCATCCTCAGATGGGTGATAACCCACCTCGGATGTGGCTCGTTCCTCTTCAGATTGGTGGTAATCGATCTCAGAGGCAGCCAACTCTTCTTCGGAGAAGGTCTGCTCCTGCTCTTGCTCTTCTTCTTTTTGGCGGTAGTCAGACAGTTCTTTCTCCATGGCTTCCTGCAGTTCTTTTTCTAGGGCCTCCTCAAGTTCCTGCTCAGTAAGTTCCTTTTCCAATCGCGATATTTCTTGCTCTTCTTCCTGTTCCGAATACTTTTCCTCCTCGTACTCGCTGTCCCTGAGGGTTCGTTCCACCTCATCATCTTCTAGCCGGCTTTCATAGTCACTTTCCAGCTGAGCCTGCTGCAATTGCTCCACCGCTGCATCCAAGTCTGCGGAGCTGGCGGCATAGTCACTCAATGCCACGTCACCATGTTCATCCTCTACGTCGGATTTACTTTGCACCGAGCTGTCTGATAGTAAGCCCTCGCGACGTAATTCCTCTTCTTCACGGCGAAGGTCGTCGTCTATCAAATCGGATGCACTGATTGGCCTTACAATCAGCGAGGCCTGCACAGCGGCGTCATCTTCGCCAGCAGTTAGACTGGGAGTGGGCACTCGTCGCTCAATTATCACCGCCGACGAAGGCGTTTGTGGCCGACTCAGCGACTTAGACCGATCCGCCTGGGAGGAAGCCCGAGATCTTTCCGACATGCTGCGTTGGTTAGCGTCACGGAATCTCTGAAGACCCTTAGCCAGCTGTTCGTCCTCCGACAGAACTCGAGCTCCATCCACCACATCCTGTTCCTGAGCTGCCTCCACACTGCGCAACAGATCCTCGAGAGTTTTATTACCCGACCCATTGGAGCGTCGTGGTTCAATGATCTTCATATCTTCTGTGATTTCAAACTCCTCGCACACAAAATCATCGGGCAGAGGGTCAGTCTGGGTAGACACCTCCACCTCGAACTCACCCTGGTCGTAGCTATCCGCCTGGCTAGAACTGGCAACTTGTTCACTGTCCTCGTAACTTTCCAATGTCTGGCTTCCTGCCCTTGTGGACCGCTTCTCGCGTGGAGGACGCGGGGGCGGAGGCAACGGGCGGAACTTCATCTTGTTAATGACTGCGCCTGATTGAAGATTGGAGCGATCCAAGGCCCCCGGCTCCTCGTAGTCATCTTCCTCTTCCGGCTGATTCTGCTTCTGTGACTCGTAGCTAGGGAAAAGGGTTAAGGAGCATTAGATAGAATCTTGGGAGTGGGTTGGAGTTCGCAACTGAGCAAAAGCCAAAGGCAAAGGCAAGAAGAGCTGTGTCTGTGTGGTGAAATGCTTTATTGTGTGTGTAGTGCGTGTCTCGGGAGGATCGGATTAGTTGCTTAGCCTAGCATAGTCTAAAACTTAACAGAAAAGGAATATTAAATAAAAACTTAACAGCAATGCATTCGAAACAAGTTAACGTCAACCAATAAAAAAACGATAAATCAAGAGGTCAAAGCTCAAGAGGCTATACTCTTACTTCGACTTGATCATCAAAGGAATCTCGTCCATGCTGGCCGCGGATCTGCGGCGTGGCACCAGTGGAGAGTCCTCAGTGGGCACATATTGCTGTGGCGGCGGTGGTCGAGCCGGTGGCGGGGATCCTCGTGAACCACGAATGCTTGGCAACGTGGCGAAACGTTCACCTGGCGATCGTGTAAATTTCTTCCGGCGGGCAGGTGGTGTTGGCTTCGGGAGCGTCTCCTTACGGACCACCGCGTAGCTGGAAGCGGGCAAGAAAGCAACTCCTGGCATATCTTGTAGGGAATACAGGGGCTACAACTTACCCATCGCTCTCCAGCATGTCGATAACGAACTTCTCGTCGCTCTTTGTCCTTGGGCCCACATTCTCGTTGTCCTCCGGCTCGGGTCTTGACTTTATGTGCCCGTCCAAAATCAGGGAGTCGGCACCACGCGAAGTTCGGTCGTCCTCAGAACGTTGCGTTCGGGCCGATGTGGCGTCCGTAAATCTATCCGGCGTGGCTAGCGGTATGTGACGATATTCGTGTTCAGTGCGATAAACAATTACCTAGAAAAGGAAAAATGGAAATTAATTCAGATGTCAAGGTGTCAAAAGCTGATACTCTCAAGTAAGTATTAAATCTATACTCATATTAATTCTACTCACATCTTCGTGTGGCTGCAAAAAGGTGTTCGATACTGATCTTCCACCGAAGCCGTTGATGAAGGAGTCCGCATCCTTGTCGACAGATGCGTCATCCCTTGTGCGTTTCTTCTGGCGCCTCGGTGCCTGCGGACGGGGTTTCTGTCGCTCTTGCTCCAGTTCCTCCTGAATCATCGTCGCCGCCTTGCCGCCGAAATCGAGGTTATTAAGTGCTTGCTCGGAGTCTGTAACCGGTTGATCCCTAACCGGTGGCCGAAGGTACTCTTCATCGTCGTCAAAGTATTGAATGCTGCTTCCGCCATCATGGGGAATATCCTGGCTGCCTTCAATGGAGTATTTGCTGCGACTACGGGCTTTGCGAAGTGGTCTTTTTGGTGTAAATTCACTACCATTTTGAGACATTGAGAGATCGTCTCCATAATCGCTGCGCTGGAACTCCTGGGAGTCGAAGTCCGGTTGGTAGTTTCGATGCAGGCGACGTGGTTTGGCCGGCGGCACATCGTAGTCACCATATTCTGTCGGAACCTGCTCAGCGGAATAACCAACGTGCTTCAATGCATTGGGCATGTCGTAACCCTCGCGAATGGCTTCACTGATGTATTGTCGCAGCTGAATGTTATCTTCGGAAATGCCACGCTTGCGCAGGAAGAACTCGTCGTCATCGATTGTCTCCATGACCACCTTTTTGCCAGAACTAGCTGTGGATTGAGCATCCTGCAAGTCGTGGAACTTGTAAAATCCAGCTTCCGCTTCCAATTCTGCTTTCCTCAGGAGCTTGTTCTTCTGAATATCTTTCTCCGTCCAACCTTCGGCATCTCTGCTATCCTCTGAACGTAGATCCGAATCCTGATGAACCATGGGGCGACGCTTAAACTCCCGTGACCTCTTGCTCGATATCTCGTGAATGGCGCGGTTCTCTTCATCGAATTCGGCAAACTGTTTGCTATCGGCAACTACACCTAGGATGCCCATCTCCTGTTGAGGCTGAGCTTCACTAGCCGTGTCCTCGGTGCCCTCGAGATCCTCCTTCATGCGGCGTTCTAGGGAGGATTCCCTGTCAAAGCTTTCCAGTTCGCTCCCGTATCGTCTATAACGAGATCCCTCACTGTCATTGTAACTCACGTCCGAGAACTTATCCGCCCAGCGGGAGCGAACGGGTCCGGGTCCACGATCCCCTTGAGGAGAGCTGGTTGATGTCTGTGATGGTTGCGTTTCCGTGCTGGGAATTACGCTTAAGCCTTCTGTTCCCAATGATGACTCCATGGCCACGGGAGCTGGCTCCTCAACCGGCTTCTTTTTGCGGAAGGCACGTGGATAGGTACCAAAATTGAACTCGAACTTCTTTTTGGGCGTCGGCTGAGACTGAGTGGGCGATGCTGTGGCCCCCGTGCCTTCTGGAGTCTCATCGGAAACCACTTCCCCCTCGTTCTCCTTAAAACTCTTGCTACGACGCAACTTCAGTGTGGAGAACTTCTCCGGCAACTTGAATTTAGACATATCCGGCTTGTTGAACTTGGTGAACTCGGGTCGCTTTATTTCCTTCAGCTTGGACATGTCCGGTCGCTTTATCTCAGGCATCTTGATTTTCGAGAACTCGGGAGCCTTGAAGCGCCTACGCTCCTTAGCCTTTGCTTTTGGACTTCCGGAAACCGGTTTGGGCTTAGGCTTGGTTTGAAGTCGTGTGCGTAATTTCCCAGCTTGCTGACGGATGCCATCCTGCATCTTTTTGGTGCGATCCTGGGCCGAAGCCATGAATCCCTTGCGACGGTTCTCCGGCTGCAAAGGCAACTCCTCCAAAGCGCTCGAGTCCACTTGACTGGTGTGAATTTCGTAGTCGGTACGGGATTCTGTGCGCGGCGTTGTCCCACCGGAACTGAGTGCCACATCGATGTCCATGGGCAGGTGCAATTCGTTTTGGGGACTTAGTGCTGGCGAGGGTTCGTGCGCCGGCGTCACGCCCACGGGCTCGTATTCATGATCACTGGAAATATAAAAAAAATATTTATGATACATTTAGGGATGTTACCAGTGGGATTATAATTATTATTATATGTGGAATGCGGTTTTCGGGTGGATCGTATTAGAAACAAACAAGCATTCTTGATATTATTACCATACCTTTGAATCAAAAATTTACCTTTAAATAACTCATCTTAATCTTTAACCCACCCATATTTCCCTATTTTGAGTAAATCTTAAAAACATCTTTAGAGCTGGCTTATAGGATTTAGAAGTAATACTTTCAACATGGGACGTGTGGTGTAGAAGCGGTGCGTTAAAGGCCTTCAGCTTGAGTGTTGAGGTCGGGGGCTCGGGATCAGGGACAGAAAAGGTGGCGATGGCTTACCGAGTGAAATAGGTCCGTTCGAGAAAGTCTCTGTGTTCTAATTGCTTTTGATTCAGGGGCGAGTTGGACTCGAAATCCGCGAGGCGCGATTTGCGTTCGTCAAAATGGAAACTAACCGTCTTTGTCATTCGGGCCGCCCCGAAAAGCTGCTCCTGTGAACGGCCAAAATGAGAGTTGCGATCGTGTGACTGGGTGCGCGGTTCCCGGAACGAGGTTTTCCGCTGGACCCCAAAACCACGCTGCTCGGAGGGAGCCCGATGCTGCAGAGGTCGATAGACGTGACTGCCACTTCCGGATATCTGAATGGGCACCGAGATGAGTGGCCGACTTCCTCCCAACGAAATATCCCTGCTAGCTGAGTCCCTGTGTCCGAAGCCCGGATCCGGCATCTCAATCTCGCTGGAGTAGAGGTTCCTGTTTCCAGCCATAAAGCTTCCTCCACTCACGCTCACACTCATGCTTCCTCCTCGTGGAACAGCGGACACTACTACTGGAGCAAAGGCCTCACTTATATCCACCGATGCCCTTTCGGAAGCAGCAAAATCCTCTCGACTGCTGTACATGGTCTGGGCACTCGGTGGAGGAGCCGGTGGCTTAGCTGGTCGTGCGCAATACTGATCCATGTCGTCCACTTTTAGGGAGAAAGTCTCAGTCACTCGAACCGCCAGTGGTTCCGCTTCTTTTCCTTTTACTGCCGCTGAAGTGGTGGTCACTACGGACATGGCCTGTGGTTTGCTGCGTGAAAACACGGATAGCAGTTTCACGGGTGAAGGCGACTTTTCCTGTCTTTGTAATTTCGGACTGGGTGTGCGGGAACGCTGTGGAGCTGGTGATGGTGATTTCTGGCGCGGCTCCTTGGCGCCAAACATTGATTTAAATCGCGAGGTATAGGAACTTTTGACTTCCGGCGAGGCATCCTGTAGGCTAATGGCAGTGGGAGTAGGAGTCGTAGCTACAAGTACGTTTTGTTGCTGAGGTAACCATTGGGAGGCTCTTTCCGGGGATAGTTGCCTTTCGGGTGTGTGCTGGCGCTTTAAGATTTGCTGTCCAGTTGACGGAACAGATGGTTCCGCTGGAGAGGGACTAGTTGGTCGACTTGAGGGCAGCTGAAGGGTGGCCATTACAGGTGGTGATTTCGGCCTCCTAGGTGAAGGTTTGGGGCTTCGGCTGCGGTGTTCGGCGGCCTTCTCTTCCTCGTCCCGTACCAATTGATCTATATCCACCACTGGTATGTCATGGATGATCTCGATTTTGGTCAGCTCATCGACTTTCAGTGGAGTTGCAATAATATCTCCACCAATGGATGGTGGACGTCTGGTCTCTGCTTGGATGTTATCCCTGATTTTAACGATGCTGTGCTCCTGGGCAATTTGCTCCAACTCTGCCACAGTCTCGGCCAAAGGATCAATGGGTGTGACTGTGGTCTGATAGGGACTTTGCAACTGCTGAAAGTCGGATTCAACAAGGAAGGAAGGACGCACGGCATCGCCGCCAAAGCGGGATACATCGATCGGTCGATTTTGGGGAAGCATATCACCAGGAATCTGATTCTCCTTATTGGCTTCGCTGGGACGCATATAATCCGTTGAAAGTGGCGGCTTGGCAACTCGGAAGTCCTGCTGCGAGGGTGCTGGCGAGGCTTGATGCGATGGAAATAGAGGTGGTTGATCCATCAATCCCGGAGTAGCTGTGGCTGGTATTAGATTGAGCTGAGGTGGTTGCATTGATCCCGGCACAATACTGGCCTGGAAGAGATCGGCATTGGATGCCCGACGACTGGTGCTGGCCGATCGACGACCTCCTGCAGGTATTGCACTGGGTATATTAATATCAGCACAGTACAAATCTGTCTTAGAGTTTCCAGCAGAGATACGGCGCAGGGAGGGACCACTTCGCATGGAGAGGGTATCGGGAAAGCGACCCATGCTGCCTGATGATAATCCTCCCATGGATAACTGACGTCTTCTTCCAGTCACGAAAGGTCCACCAACTCCTTGATGAGGGGCAGAAAACTGGTCTGGTTCTGTTGCATCAGAGATGCTGCGCACCACCAATCCCCTCGAGCGGGCAGTCTGCTCTAGCTCTGGGTATCGCTCCATGAAACTAAGGTCCACCGAGGGGGCCACATCTGCATGACTCACCACCTCGAAGCTGTGAGTGGATAGATCATCCCGCAACAGATTGAGATGGGCAGGTGGGTACTGCTCTTCGGCATGACCACTTAACCGGGAACCCGGCCGCGAGTCAACTGGATTCACACGCTCCGGCAACAAGGACTCGCACATAAAGTACTGGCAGGCACATCGGACGTCCAGGGATGCTCCACTGGCGCTCTCCTGGCGTGATACAAAGTGTCGTTTCTCCGCGGGCAGGGCGCCTACGGAGGCAGATCGTCGGGAGTTCAACATGGCCAGCAACTATTACTTTTTCACTGTCCCCGGACGTAATCCCTCTTCACCTCCACCTCCTGCTCGTCCGTTTCTTGCCAATTTCAGTGCTTTTGTTCGTTGTTTTCGCTATGTGGTCGTCGTAGTCGGTGGCTATTTTTAAGCACCACCAGAGCAGACATTGAATTTATTTTCTGCCCCGAATTCGAAATTCTTGCGGGGCCCCAAGAATTTAGCTCTGGGTGTTGCAATCGTAGAATTAGTTATTCAACTGAATGGTTAATAATCGTTTATCGATACCGGGCTTTAAAATCACTTTGTCGCTGTCCCCGTCGCTCGCATCTGAGGTGGTGTTTGGGTCCCGTTATGTATTTATGTACGTGATTGTTTGTACGTGCGCGAGCGCGTCTACATCGTTGCGATTTTCGGCCAGGACTGAATAATGGGAGAGCTTTTCGCCATTTGCGCGACACAAATTTTCAACCGAATTTCTTGTTCGAAAGATGAAAATGTTTTTCTTTAAAATTAGCAAAAACACACATAGTGGCGACACGGATTAGGCATGTCGTTGTATGAGTGTGGCGACAAAGCTACTTGCCTGCTCATAATTGCGATCGTGGTGAGTTCTTTGGGATAAGTGAGGTGGGGTTAGGAGGCTGAGGATAATGGGGAGATGCACTTTATCGTTCTATTTTTGGGGGCCTTTGGTCTGCCTGCCGGAAATCTTCTTGTCATTCGTCGACCTTTAGCGCGCTAAATATACTCTTTAAATTGCCGTTTGATGTTCGCCCGACACGCGTCGTTTGCTTCTGGCCTATCCATGAAATTACTTGTTGGAATTCGTCCTCAGGAAACGGACGTGGCGTGACCTTTGAGAGTAGTTTTGAGATGATCAAGAAATCAATGATTCCACCCCGTTTCGCTTCCACCACAAATCCAACCAAGTCCCCACACATTTATGTATTTATGTACATATTTATTATGCCAACACCGATGGAAGGGTGAAAGGGACGCACACATTGTAGGAGGTAAAGTGCAGCACGGCGAGTACAGTAATTATCGGTTTAAAGTTCGGTTTATCGACTTAAGATACATGTCAAAAAGCACTCTAGAAACAAACAAGCAGTTACATCTAGCTACATCTGAATATTCTAGCCAAAAATCATTCATAATTTACTTTTATATGCTTTTAATTATTGATTGACACTAATGACTAGTTGAGACTCATCTTTTATATTAGGAGTTCCTTAAAGATTATTCAATCCTTCTTCCTACATAAAGAAGAAGGTAATAATACTATACTTAAGGTCGCTTTTAAGCCATTTACATTTCATAAAGTGTTGTATTTTGACCAGGTCAAAATTCACGAAAATATTCTATATGGTAAACCTAACTCCTAATTGATGTGTCTGATAAGCCGATAGTTACTGTACCCCCAAACATGTCTTACCTTAGGTCTAAATCATTTCAGGCCACCTTTCGGCTTGAGCCCGCTACCAAAACTTATTGGTGGCACCGGCACTGCAACAGCAGCAGAGCGTCCACGATGCGGAACGCTTGATTCGGATGCGCCACGTGCTTGGGGTGTGTTGGGTGGTGGGTGTACCATAGGTGTCTGTGTCGGTAGTGTAGTGGTAATCTTTGTACCGTGGTGCACGGGCACGGTGGTGCTTGGTGAGCCGGCGGCGCCCTCGGCCTCCGCCCGCAGCTCCACCTCCAGCTCCCGGCAACAAGGTTAGTAACAATTTCATGAGCAAGTCAATTAGGTTAGATCCTCTGCAAGATGGTTAGAGCAACAGCAGCCGGTTTGGGGTTGTGCTGAGTGTTAGTGTCAAGCCGGGAAGTGGTGTTCTTTTTGTTTTTGTAAGTACAATCGGAGTCTTCCTCTCACTTACCTCTCATTTTTCCATTTGGCCGCGTTGGTAGCCGCCTCCAGAACATCCTCGGGCAGCTCGACATCCTCGCGATGGGGTTCCGCTTCGTCCTCAACATGGGAAAAGGTCACCTTCTTGTCGGAGGGCGCTGGCGATGCCTCTTTCTTCAGAGACGGACGCAGATCTAGATTAATATCCATGGGTTCGTCACTCTCCTCGGTCACTGGTGACAGCTGTGCCAGGCGGGCACGCTCCTCATCAGAGGAGGTAGAGTCTATGGAGGAGATGGGGGCAAACAGGGCACCTGGCTTGCCGGCGGTCACCTGCTCTTCCTCACTGCTACCCATGCGATCTAGGGGTACTGCCTTGGCTGCCTCGATCTCATCAATCGTAAGGTTGTCCTGACGCATCAGGGATTTCTTAAGAGATTCCAGTTCCACGATAGGTTGATCCACCAATTCCTGAGATCCCAATTGGCCAATCTCTTCGTAGACATGTTCCCGCCGGACGCGAGGTGTTTTCTTGGGCGGGTCCTCCTCAACCTCTGATTCTTTTTCAGCTTTGTTTTCCAGCTTTTCCTCTGCGGGCTCGGTGACCTCTAATGTGGGAGCATCTACTTCAGTCTTGATCACTGGCAGCTCGATGATCTCGTCGGGCTCTGGCACTCTACCGCTTCCACTGGCACTAGGCTGATCCTCCAGCAACTCCTCCTTGGTGCGCTTGCGGCATGGCGACTCGTCGTATTCCACCAGTTCCAGGACATCATCGGAGTCCTGCTTCTCGATAAAATGTGGGATCTCGCTGCGATCAGACTTGGGGGAAGCTTTCAGCTTCATGATCTTCTGCTGCTCCCCCAAAACGATCTTGTCCTCCTTTTTAAGGGTGATCCTCTTTATGTTCAAACGCTTCTTCTGCCGCTCGGCCAAGCTCTTCAGCTTCTTCATGATGTCGAAGCCCTGCTTGGGTTTGCTTGACTTCGAAGGCTTATCGGTGTTCGGGATTAGGGAGCCTGGTGGCGGAGCAAGTTCGTGAAGGCTACTCTGTCGACTGGGATTTGCGGAGTTTCCAGGCAGTGACTGGGCGTCCTCGTGAGTGCGTCCGCTGCGCCTGCGCCGGATCAGGTCACGGATGTGCGCCAAGCGATTCGTCTTACGTGGTCGGGCGTGACCTCCAACCGCAAGCACGGAGTCGGAAACGCAGGAGATACACTCGCTTAGAGCGTCTTCGTTGTGCTGATCCCGTTCAGATTCGGTTTCCGAATCCGACGACTCCTCACTGCTGTCGTCGGTGGTGGTGGCTACTGCCTCGTCCTCAGAAAGATCTTGGATGTAACGTTCGGTTTCTTTGACCAGCACCTGCTCGTCGTAGCGCACCTTTTTCAGGGACTTGGGAGACTCAGATTTGAAGCGCAATTCCTGGGACTTTCGCAGGAGCAGCACAATCTCCGGCTGCTCGTCGGGTCCCAGTGGCCGTTTGTACAGATGTGTCCACGGATAGCCACCCTATGGAGGGAAAATAAATAAAATTTGTCAAAATATAACTATGACTGTATTCCTTAGCTGCCTTATTATTAAAAAAATCTTGGCATTAAACTTTCTTAATTAAAAGCAAAACATAATTCGATTATTTTATTATTTTGATTGGGACTTTTCTTTGTTTGTGTTGTTGTTGTGAAAAGCAAAGCGAGAACAATTTCGAAACCTGAAGTATATAATTACTTATGGCATTTTTCTAAAATTATTTTGTATGAGTAATGAAACTACGAACGAACTCAAGAATTATTTTAGGAAAATCATAAGTTCTGTAGTTGCCTCATTTTTCAAGAGGATCTGTTCAGCTACTATATTGGAAAACGAAAACTTTTCTGGCTAATCGTAGCTATAAATCATTATTAACTTACCCGTTCCTTGGCTCGTTTCAGGTCCTCCCAGCGATATGTTTGTAGTGGCACTGGTGGCTTCTCCTGGCTGCTGTGCAGGAGGTACTTCTTGAGGGATTGATAGTATTCCCTTTTGCAGTCCGCCGATAGTTTCTGAGCATCAGTCTCCTCCGATCCTACACCCTGCAGGCGATTCTGTTCAATCTGGGGCAGTGAGTCAATGAACTCCTTGCGTTCCTGCTCCTCGGCTTCGGTCTTTGGAGTGGGTACCTCCACAAGCTTCAGTTCATTGGGAGCAGCGACAATTGGCTTTGGCTTTTGCTCTTCCTCCTCAGTCGGTAGTTCCAAAACAATCTCCGCCTGGGGCTTGTTCTTCAAGATGCCGGTCAGCTCATTTAGCTGCACCTCAACCTGTTGGGTGAGTGAGCTGATCTCCTCGCGATCTCGCTGGATCTGTTCCTTGTGCAAACGTTGCGCCTCGTCTACATCCCGGTTGAGTGCCTGGATTAGCTCCTGTTCGATCTCATCCACCAATTGCTCGGCGGTGCGACGTACTTCCTCCGACGGAGTGGCCGCCGTCTCGTCAACCTCGGCGATTTGATGTGTCGGCGGTGAAATTTCCACAGGCTGTTTGGTCTTGGCACCAGCTGGCTCTACCTCGATAACTGGTTCCGTGTCATTTGTGTCTACTTTTGAGGTGCCCTGCTGTAGTTCCTGCTCGAAGGGTGTTAACTCCCTAATACCAACGCCACTGGCTTCTGCGTCTGCAATGCTCTCGATGAGATGGGACTCGAAGTCCAGGAGATGTGAGCCACCGGGAGTAGTGGGCACTATATGCGGCTGGGGTGCCTCGGTGTTGTTGTTATCGAGGGCTAACTTCAAGGCGGCTGCTTTCGATTGCTTCTCCTCTAGCTGAGTATCGCTGGCGATGCCGTTGATCAGGAGTATGGTCGGCTGCTCAGTGGGGCTAGTTCCAGCGCCAGGTAGCGACACTACAAGAAGAGGAGGGGGCGATGCCAGAAAGGTAAGAAAGTGAGTAAATGAGGTGTTTACACTCTGCCAGCAACAGGTGCTAAAAATAAGCGCAAACGGCGGACAGTAGACGAGACATAATTACATAAGTCGCAATTCGAGAAATGAGAGACAACACAGTACGCTGGTGGACATATAAACATTCTCTTTCATTATTCTCTATTTCGATATCGAAAGCTGCAATTACGAAATACGAAAATTTATAATGCAAAATAGTTCCTTTACCACAATTTGATCAACTATGATAGCCCGATTCCTTGCTGATCCCTTTTCGTTTTTCGTTGGTTTTGTTCGTTTTCGGTTGCCTTTTATTTTTCGAAAATAAAAATCAATCGAATGGGTTGGGGTTAGTGGTCTTTCGGTGGTCTTTTGCTCACAAATCTTCTCGGATATCAGCGCAATTCGCGGGTACACGAGCCGTGCATTGAAATTGTCCGGGGCCAACTGGCCCGTCCAAACGGATTTTTCGCAAAGCAAAGTCCCAAACGAACAAAAAAGAAACAAAAATTGTTGAGAGTCGAATTTTCCTTTTGCTGTGTGTGCTCAACTGTTTTGCTTTCAAAATACTTATACTTATGCTTAACAAATTTTACTATTCCTCGCTCGCGTTCTCTCGTAATTTTCTGGCTTTTCGCTTTAGTTTTTGTTTGGTTCGCTTTTCGAGAAAAATAGTTGCACACACAACCAGTCGTAAACAATTTGCAGTTTTTACACACATATTAACGTTAATTTAGCACACCGCCGATAAACAAGAGCAGCACCTAGAGCAACCAACCAACCAACCAACCGACTGATCCAACAAAAACAACAACAGAAATACCCACAAAAACCAAAAGTAAATTTTCATTTTACATTTATGCGCCCAATTCTCGGTGTGTTTGTACATTCAACAATTATTGTTTTCTTATCGTTGCTATATAGACATACACGGATATATATATCTTTACTTCATATTAGTTTGTGATGAGGTCTAACGTAATCAAATCAAAAATTACAAGCCCACGAAACTTAATTGTTTGTACAAATCGAAATATCGCCTTCCGTTATGCTTTTGTGGTTATGCCTGTTCGTGATTGAAGAGGAGCTGAATCGATATGTGAGTGCCAGGGTATGCCTAAAATTTAATCATATATATAAGGTAAATTTTCATTCATTATAGTTCAATTTGCTGTATCATGGCAAATCGCTTTAATCATTTCCCATATGGGGTTAAATGAGGTAAGAATCTTGGCGCTCAAAGTTGTTTTCCTTTCGTGTGTGACATCATGTCAAAATTTATACAAATCTGGCAAGGGTTTAAATGGGTAATTATAGGAAAATGATGAAAAATGCACTTTAGGTTTTAAAATTTGGTTTTACAATATTAAAAACTACGCTGATCAAAGATCAAGTTATTTATTTTCTACTTTGTTAATGACAATCCAAGCCTTAGCAAAGTACAAGCAATGAGCAAAGTTGAATGTAATTAAATTTTCCACACTTTTTACCTATTCCTTAGTTTCTTTTTTGAAATCTTATAAAATACCATCTCGTTCTAAGGTATCAATATATTAAAAACGGATTTCTCACTTCTCACTTCGCAACCTTAAACAATTCTTTGAATTACAATACCTGAGTATACCTTTTGATTTTTCAGTATTCAATCATCTGGACTGATTTGTTTTTGTCTTGTTCAGACATCCACATGTGGATGGATTTACCATAACAATCCGAGCGTAACTGCCTTGGCTCAACTTGCTTTACATGGAGAGCCCCTGTTCGCAGTTGAATGAATTCGGTGCGAGGCTTTTCCTCAAAAATCAAAATCAACTATTCATACATAAGTGAACATTGACAACTGTCTACGGGAGCCGCCTCCTCCTCGGCCTGCGATAGAAATCAATCCAAAGCCGATTCACGGACAAGTTCATGAACACTGTAGCTGCTGAACTTTACACAAATTTGTGAACAGAGAGATAAAGAGTAGGAAAAATCGAAAGGGGGAGAGTCGGAGTGGAACCAGACGTTAACCGCTGCGTATACGTAATGCGCGTGCGGATACATGAACTCTATAAATAGTCAAACCTAGGAACCATTACGTTGGCTATTACACTTTTTTGTCAATTTATTACCCAGCTCTGAACCTTCGCTCCCGTCGAATTGCGTAACATGCAAATCAATTAAATGTTTGCCGGCTCACTCACCATAATTGCCAGCGACACTGAGGAAAACATAAACCATAATTGTAGGAACTTTGAGTTAGTATCATTGGTTATTATATTTATAAAAAAAAAAAAACAATTTGTTAAAAACAAAAAACTGAATTTGGAAAAAAACCGAAAAGAAAAGTGTAGCAAATGTTTATGGACGTCGCTTGAGCCTCACATGTTCGACGTCTAATCGCGTTTTGAATACTAGCAAGTAAAAAACCAACGCTGAAAACAAAACTAGCAAAAAGTTGTGGCAGCGCCGCCGGCAGCAAACTTGTCGCTGACGTTGAAGCTTTGACGTTGCTCTCGAGTCGCTAAACAACGTGAAATGCTGATTGAAATGCGAGAGAAGAGACAAGGGGTACACCACCGCCGCCTGCTCCTCCACCAAGGGATCCATCAGCGTGTTGCACTTTCGCCACTGGTTGCATGCGAATGTGGCGACGTCAAACCTCCAAGGTCGCCATCGCGACCGGGCGCTCTCCACTATATTTAGAATCATTTAAGCGTAACGCACTCAAGGGCCGCCAAGGCAAGTCAAGTTATTTTATTAATGAGTGGTTTTCTTATTGGTTCTGTTCAGGGCGCTTGGCAAATCAATATATTAGTCTGACCTACTGATAGATAAGGTTTCTTTTAAAGTTGAAAAAGTAATTAAAGAATGGAGAACTGTTTTCTTTTAGGATCTCCAGTGATCCAAACTTTGCAATCATAATATTCAAACTAAAGACTAGAAATATTCTAAGAAAGCTTCTCTAAGCTCAAAAACGTACGTAAGATTTCCTTCCCTTAACGTTGGAATTCTCTTGGAAGAAATGTCTCCGACCAAAGCAAAGTATTTGCTAATGAATGAGCGAATATGTTGAGAAACTGGCACACGTTGCGTATGCGTTATGTGGATTCAGGTCGCCGTCCCGGCTAAATTTTTGTGTGTTTTATTTTTTGTTCGGCAAATTTTTGCTTGTTGTGAAAATAAATTCTGGCGACACAATTGCAGAGTACTCGAGTTCATTGGACGGCTTAATTATTCCAAACGAATGCAAATCGCCAGAACTGAAACGGAAATTGCCGAACGTAATTGATTTCCACTTTTAGTTTGGCCAGAGCAATTCTTCATATTTTTATTGCACTTTAATGCCCAGGCCAACGGCCCACGCAGAAGCTTTTTGGTTTCTGACCTTGACTGGCCAGATATTGAATTATTTATGTACCTAAAAATATAGTTCAGGGAGAACTTTGGTATATACATACATTTTGGCTTTCCTTCATATTGACGATTAGTTCCAAACTAAAATAAAAATAAACCGACAGCGAGCGACAACAAAAACGAAGACAACTACGACGACGAAGACGTCAACGAAAAGCGACAGAGCAGAAATCCAATCAAATCAAATAGGCACAGAATATAACGTATACGTTTAGGTAGCCCACATGACAGACAGTTGAATGGGTTGAAGGAAATATCACGGCACAGGCTATGTACTTAACTTAGAGGCAAAAGTTAAGGAACTTTTGCCACAACACAAACACGAGCACCACTCATAAATAATGAAAGTGCGGACAAGAATGAGTGGCTACACAAAAGTGAGTACGATTCGGATGAACCTCGAATCACATAGAACCGATGAAAATGAGATGCAGACTATCCCGAGACAATGTAAACAATAATGGTGGTATACAAAACCCGGGCAACATGTTGCCAGAGAAAATCTCTTGATCTCTTTGTGAATGAACATGGTTGAACGAGACCAAGACAAGACCAAAAAAACGGATGGAAAAAAGAGGGGAAAATCTTTTACCAATCACTGGTGCCATACAGGTCAGGAATCGGGTCAGTGCTGTGCCCGTGCTGGGAATTACTCTATTTGTTTGGGGACTCTTTGCTGAAAGGCCTGCAATTAGGTCAAAGTTTGCTTTATAATTCGATGTTGGTCTTTTGGTCATGTGATGGAATGCGATTTACTGCTAATTGGAAATCAATCAAACCTCCATTAGTTGGGCCTTTTACCCCGCAGACTCCTACAACCGATCAGCGACCAGTTCTCCTGCCAATTACCAGTAATTTTCACCTAGTCTGAATCATCGGTTTTCTTCGCCATGCTAATCAATGGGCGAAATGTTCCGTGGTTTATGGTTATGACATGTTCTTTTTTTTTTAACTAGCTTTTTAGGTTGAACATTTTAGCACATCTGACTTAATGGGAATTTACTTCTAGCTTCTCTACTGCATGATTTATCAATAAATTATACAAAAGTAGCTGCAATATGAAATTGAAGGGTAGAAGCTTATTGATTTATGATTCTAATATAATAATCATAAATGTGCCTGCTAAGAATAGCAGCTTACTTCATAATTGACTGATGTCTAGAGCCATAATGAATTTTAAATGCAGGAACCCGTGGTCAAGATAACCTTCACTGCTTAACCTGGACAGTTTTTACATTACACCTTTTTATTTATTTTTAAAAAGTGTGATTGCAAGCCCTCTTACTTATTATATTTGACATTTTTCTTTATTACAAATGTCAGTTTTACGGTCTAATCTAGTTCAGTATTTAATTAGTGTCGTTACCCCTATTTGACATTATAATGCAGTTAGTTAGGGAGTTTCCCAAAGACTTTAAAGGTCTTTGCGTCATAAATAACTACGCGGCATTACGAAACAAATCCCATGGTAATCAGCGAGGTTTTTGAATAGATAAAGTCGGCACCTCAATTGTTTCTAAAAAGCCTGATAAGATAAGGGAGCCATATGTTTAGTGCCCCATCATATGACCCATTTGACGTTTTAGGAACGGTCTACGTGCTCTGATCCCAGTGTGCAGTGTCCAATGGAGGGAACTTGAACTTGGCCTCTTTACTCTTTTAATTGGCTATAACAAATTCCCGTCGAGTGGCAATCACTGGCACTGCAATCAAGTGATAAGAACCCTGCGCTTTTGCTAGACTTTCTGGAAAACGGGAATAGAAACTGTTGTTGCTAGCTTTTATTTTTTGTAAATAAGCCACCTTTATCGGCCATAAAACTGGCTGGAATAGCGGAAAAGTGCCCCTAGATCACGTTCATTCTAAGGCTAATTTTAATCATGATCGATGCAACGGCTAGCGGTACTAAACCAAAAGCCCCAGACAAGCTGGATGGGGTGGCGTATAACCGGTTTGTTAATTCACATGGCTAGATCCACACCCATTGTGCTTGGCAAATAGAAGATGCCGCTAACACGGAGCGAAGTGATGGGTCTCGGACTCGTCTGGGCTGTTTATCTAAAAGCTAAGAAACTCACAAGATGCCGAAATCCAAAAGTAAACTTGTGGGAAATTTTTGGTTTTCCCAATGCAGAATTTCATATGCTCTTGCGAAGGTCAAGAATTCAGACTAAGAATAAAACTAATGGTTCATGTTTTGTAATGGAAAACTATTCAAAGATTTCAAAGCTTTTTGGCATTTGTTTTTTGTTATTAATTAAAATGAATGAAAACTTTTCTCAGATCAAGGACAGTCTATTTAAATGGCTTCGTACCACATATTTTCTGGGTTTGTATACAGACTATCATTAGAACCGCAATCTTTTAATAACTTAAGCTCATAAAAGTCATAAAAATCAAATTCAATCAACCATTTAAGTGGTAACCTGCGAGTGCAGTGATTTCCTTGGGTTCTGCATTTAAAATTGATCGACCCAGTGTTTTAGTACTACCCCAATGACCAGAAAATTGTGTTCTATTAGTGGGCCATTGCATTTGATTGCCGATTATCGTTGGACTGGGTCTGGGTCTGGGAACTTTAGAGTCGCAATATGCATATGAGGGTATAATTGTGGAACCGCTTACCCGTTGCGGCGCCAAAACACAGAACTTGTCATAGTTTTTGGCCGCCGTTCAACTTGGCAGGCAATCATAAGTAATGTTCTTAGTCCCCAGCACATGTGCATGTGCTATGTAGCTCGCCCAGCCCCACAGAATACAACTTGTTCTATATTCGTCCAACGACTGTCATTACAGGCGATGTGACACACCGCCCACGCGGCGTATGCGTAATGCGCGGCTAATTTGTGGGGCAATGCGATGTAGATGCAAGTTGACCTCACTTGATGGGCCTACCTTCGTCCCAGGGATGATGATGACTTTGCTGCTGTTGCTGCTGCTGCTGTTCTGAAGAATTCTCATCTTGAGCTGACCGAGATTTGCGTCCTTTTTTCGAGCGTTTCGACTCCATTTTGTGACTTCTGATGCGGCTGGTTAAGATTTACTTTTTGGCTACAAGACACGCGCGTAAATAGAATAATATATATTTTTATGTCGGACCTGTCGGTCTGTGTGTGCGTTTTTTTATGTGCTCGTGGTTTATCTTCAGTGACGCACACACAAGTGACATTTGGCAAACACACACTGTCCCGCACTCTGTCGCGTTTTTTCGAACTTTGCGTATTTTTTGTCGCTTCGATTACTTGGCGCGTTCACATATATCCACATATATACTCGCAGATATATATCTATTTGGCGTGAATATATTTTAGATTTAAAAATTTCCCAAGTTATTTATAATGCGGTGATTTAATTTAACACACACTCTCGTCCACTTTTCATATTCCTTACTTGCCAAAAAATCACGAGAAATGGCGACAGCACTTTTCCCACACTCAGTACGATATATTCCAAAAAACTTAATTATGAAATTAAATTGAATGGGCATTACGTGACAGCGCGACGTTTGGTTTTGTCAATTGCGGGGAGCGGTACAGTTCTAACATTAACGATTATTACGGATAATGATGAGTTTTCCTTCCAACTGCCGCCGCTGGACTGCTGGGGTACCGAACGAACCGCTGGGCAGTTGGGAAACCGCTGGCCGGTTGGCTCGTTTATTACTGGTCGGGTTAGTAGTATCTATAGATGTATGCACATATATATATACATAAATATATATATTTTTGAGAACCGAGCGAGAAGTTAGATGAAAAGTGAATGAAAATCGCGCACGGAGTCCGCTGATCCGTCCATGCGTCGTCGTTGTGGTTTGTTTGTCGATGATGTGTCGTCGATCGTGGATCGTTTGCCGTGCCGTACCGCGCGCGACTAATGCCGACTAAACCAGCAGCGACTACGCGATCCGAAAGCTTTTCAGTTGGTTTCACTTTTGGACCGTTGTTTTTTTTTTGTCACTGGTGGTCACACGCCGCGAGCATTTTTCCGTGTTCTCTGACGAAAAATACGTATATTCACGGAGATGCTCTCCGGCGCTCCGGTATTCCGGCATTCATCAATCGCACTGCACCGACTGCACTTGCTTATCACACACCATTTCGCAGGGCAACCTATTTTTAGAGATATAGCCTCTGCCATATCGAGTTGGTTGATTGCCAGCCAGATTGATGGGAAATGCTAATTGAAAATGGATGGGGTTCCTTACTTATGCGGTTACCCATTAGCTAAGGGAGTTGCAGAACTCGATGATTGGCAGATCTGTCAGATTGTTGCTAAGTCTTAAAAGATCTTTATGGAAAACTTCTTATGTCAATTTAAAAGCCAAACACTAGTTTTATTTTAGTGTTTTTCCATTCTCCTTTTGCTTTCTACAATTTCTAGTCCCAATGACTCTTTCAATTTCAGCGACCACCAAATTCCATCATAAATGAAATAATAAAACTAAAAACTTTTGGTGGGGTGCATTAAACTGTGATTACGATTATAAAACGGAAAGTTCATTCAAAGTTTTGTGCAGTGGAGACGACAAGTTCAAGTTGTTGAGTCGGCAGATTGCATGTTTTGTATTTCAGCCATGTTTATGAGGACGCAACCCCCATCAGTACAACAGCCTAGCCAGCCCAGCGAGCAGACGGGTTCAATTGCCGCACTACAAGCCATCGGAGATGCCTTTGTGGGCCACTAAAAGTGGCAACTGCTGCTCATCAAGTTCATTCCACTTGGCATTAAGTGCGCCCAAACAAAACATCCCAAGAATGCTGCAACAGACACTGACAGTGAGATCTGTTTATAGACCCGGTCGGCATTTAATTACTGGGAAAGTGAAGATTGTTGAGGCGAATGTTGCGCCTTCGTTGATTACATAAAGATTTGTTTTGTGCTATTGCCAGAGTTCAACTCATCCCCAAATTAATCAGGCAAAAAGCAAGTCATTAAAGTGGCATTAGCCAAGGCAATTTAGCCAAAAGCAGGATATGCACACCGATGTTGACCTTTAAACGAGTGCAGGTGCAATGTAGGTGGTGTAGGATGATTTCAAAAGGCCCTAATTAAAGCTAAACATGGCAAAGCGTGGTGCATGACACAACAGCAATAATAGAATCCAGATTCAAATCCAGATTCAAGGAAACCACCTACAATACGAACTGTGTCCTTATTGAATCGAAGTTGATTGACAGGATATAGACGACGATTGGGGGAGGAGTTGAATGGAATCCTTGGTAACATTCACCCGGTAACATGCCATTAATCAAACGCACACACGTGAGCTCCTCCACCTGTCTGGAGCGACTTATTTATGAGGACATTTATCGATTTGCCTGCCGAATTGTTCAATTATTTGGGGTACACCTGCCCACCGAGAACCGAAACACCACTGCACATTTGGTTTTGTCTTTTTTTTTGAGTCCCATCAATTAATTATCTTTTCAGCCTTCCGCTGGGACAACACACACTTCCGTATCCGGTTCGAAATCCGATATGTCCGGCGATGGACACCGACAGCGACACTAATGATCCGATGGTGAGCTCTTTTGGGCTCGGTCACCGCCGCCTCTTTAATTCCATTTAGACCGAAGCTCCTGGCAGACTGGTGACTCTGTTTATGTTTATCCCTGTGCCTGCACTGCCGTTGTTGTAGTTTTTGCTATTGTTGCCGGCATCGGCAGCGGTAACCCGTCCATCTGCCGTTGGTGAAACATGCGCACTGTTGAACCAGCGCCTCGGTTGGGAGCCCAGTGCAGGGATGTCCTTTGGGCCAATATGCAGCTTTAGTAGCTTCTTTAATGACCTGCTTTGGAAGTGAAGCGCACTATTGGTAATCACTGTTTGGGTGCTTCTAAGGGCCAAGGGAGGAGCATGCGCAGACAGAGGTGATTTTTTTTATATATTGGCGGTTGTTTTTGAATTCCATTTTGAAATATAAATTGTTATTTATTCATTTTACTTGTAACTCTTACGATATTTCGACTTTAACTTATATTTTAAATTAAATCATAAGGTACAATGGAGAAATTAAATTCCACTTTTAGATGAAACAGAAACTAAAGTTGGTTACTGAATAATAAACTTAAGTACCAGTTGATATCTGAACACATTTAAAATATTCCTTTAGTTTTAGCGGATTTTTGAACTTACCGTTTTTCTAGCTTTTTTTCCCCGATCTCGCTGGAATGGCCATTTGCCCGCCCACTTGTTTGAATGCCACTAGTTGATCAAAAAGTAGCGAGTGCCAACAGCTGATCGGAATTAGATAATAGTTTATAGTCCCACGAAATCAACATGGCTCTGAAATTTGTGGCCCAGTCATGCAGATCCTTGCTGCAACGTGGCGATCGTCCTTTGTCCTGGACCCGTACCCTCACCCATTATCCCGTCAACGATGCTATCTTTGGCCTGGATGAGGATCGCCAAAAGTTGCGAGAGGTCGCATTCAATTTCTTCCAAAAGGAACTGGCGCCACTGGCCAAGGAGATCGATAAACTGGATCACTTCAAGTAGGATATACAGGGCAAATACCTTAATTACCTTACCTGTAACCCTTATTTTACAGGGACATGCGTCCATTCTGGAGAAAACTGGGTGATCTTGGCTTTCTGGGCATCACTGCAGAGCCAGAATTTGGAGGTACTGGTGGCAGCTATCTGGACCACTGCATTATCTTGGAGGAGTTCTCGCGGTAAGATATGCATGCACTTACAATTTTTCTAGTTATGATCTATAGTGACCTTTGAAATCCCTACCTTCCAGTGCGGCCGGAGGTGTAGCGTTGTCTTACGGAGCCCACTCCAATCTGTGCATCAATCAGCTCACCAAGAACGGCACTCCCGAGCAAAAGGAAAAGTACCTGCCGAAACTATGCAGTGGTGAGCACATTGGAGGACTAGCCATGTCAGAACCTGGAGCAGGATCCGATGTAGTGTCTATGAAGCTGCGTGCGGAGCGCAAGGGAGACTACTATGTTCTGAACGGCTCAAAGTTCTGGATCACAAACGGATCCGATGCTGATACTCTGGTGGTCTATGCCAAGACTGGAGCCCCTGGAGTTCCTGACAAGCATGCTATCACAGCTTTTATAGTGGAGACCGCCTGGGAAGGCTTCAGTGTGGCCCAAAAGCTGGACAAACTGGGAATGAGAGGTAGTAGCACCTGTGAACTGGTTTTCCAGGATCTGAAGGTGCCTGCCAAGAATATTCTGGGCCAGGAGAACAGAGGTGTCTATGTGCTGATGTCGGGTCTGGACTTTGAACGGCTGGTGCTGGCCGCCGGACCCGTGGGTCTGATGCAAGCCGCCTGCGATGTGGCTTTCGACTATGCTCATCAGCGTAAGCAGATGAATAAGTTGATTGGAGAATTCCAGCTGCTCCAGGGCAAAATGGCTGATATGTACACCACACTGAGTGCCTGCAGGAGCTATCTGTACACGGTGGCCAGATCTTGCGATGCAGGCAATCGCAGCGCTAAGGATTGTGCTGGGGTTATTCTCTACACTGCCGAGAAGGCCACCCAGGTTGCACTGGATGCCATTCAAATTCTCGGTGGAAATGGTTACATTAACGAAAACCCAACTGGTCGCATTCTGCGGGACGCCAAGCTGTACGAAATTGGCGCTGGAACCTCGGAGATCAGGCGTTGGCTTATTGGTCGCCAGCTTAACCAGGAGTACAAGTAAGGGGTCTTATCTTATTCCGATGAAACCCAGAAATGCATTTATGGTACGAGGATGGCAATAACGAGGATCAACTCTACTACCTGACAGACTTAATGTTGCATTTATTTTTTATAAGATTTTTAAAATCATTACTTTTAATCAATGTTTGTATGTGCCTAATAAAAAGAGTATAAAGCTTTAATAACTCGGTTTTGTTTTTGCGACATAAGAATTTTCCATTTAAAACACATTTATAACTTTGTTAAAATATTGTTTTTTTTATTAATTTACAAAAAATACACAATTTAAATATGCAACTGCATACACGATTCGCATACGTACGTATATACAAAGAGAAATAAAAAGTATTGATTACATCGAATAAAATTCACATCGGCAGAACATATAATATATATTTACTGTTCTACATTTTGGTGAAAAACAAGAGGTTTCTTACGTTAGAAAATAATATTTCATGTTTAGTGCACAGTAATAAATTGCATCGAAATAACAACAAAGTGAAGAACCAAATTTGTAGGTGTTACGCTTATTAATGGTTAATTATAATTTCGTTGGATTTTAGAAGATTTGCCTGAATAAGTTAGGACTGCTAAAAGCAATCTGCTTATGGCTTATGCTCTCGCACATCTTTTATCAATATATATTGGCAATTAAATGGCAAATAAACACGTAGAACACAGATTTATGAAAACATAGAAAGTTGAATAGCAATATTAGGTTGTTAATATGCGGCTGATTATATGGTATGGGTAGAGGCGTATATATGTAGTTTCGCTAGTGGCTAATTACAATTAATATTAAATTATTTCTATTAGTATGTGTACGGGTGTGTAAATGTTAAAAGCACATTTGGCAAACATCGACTTGCTCATCACCAAGCTAGAACATTTACTTAAGCAACTAGAATCGTTTTAATCGGAGCGCCTAATCCAATCGAAAACTATGCTTCTCCGTCTTGGTCTCCGAGCGGGATTCTGTTGTTGTCGTGAAGGACTTGCGCTCCATCACACGCTGGGTCATCGAGGTGAGTCGCTCTGAACCTTGATCAACAATGCTAATCTTGCCGCCGTCGGTGTTGAGGGTCATCTGTGAGAAACTCGATTCCAGGGGCTTGCTCACTCCCAGTTCACTGCTGCTGCTGGTGGTATTGTTGGCTGACTTGTCGAAGTTACGTGTCTCATATCTAAAATTTTTAAATTAAGGATTAGCTAAAGGATTAGATAAAGACAGGAGTAAAACCCACCTGGACGTGTATCCTTCATAATTCTGACCAGGATAACCATTTCCTCCCGTCAGCTGGACTACGCCGCCCTGACCGAAAGTCTTATCATGCAAATCCTGCACACATGCCGCCAGATTTCGGTTTGCAGTAGGCTTCTTTGGCACCGCCGGTGGAGATGAGTTTAGCGTTTTAATGCTGGACGACTCAAAGCTTTGCTGGTAGTTTGTGTTAGTGGGTGTGCCTGAGACGGTGGGTGCAGAGGTTAGGCCATTGCTGCCGCCCGGACTGCCTGGGTAGGGCCTGGGCACGGCATTGGCTGTTAACTTGGGATTAGGGCGGAAACTGTGACCCGACGTGGCGGTTTGCATGTTAGAAATGGTTGCAGACAACGGTGGCGGCGGTGGTGGGAAGTCTCCGTTGCCATCGTCCATCGGTGGATAGTTGGATGGCGGTGGAGACACCGCTCCGGGATGATGGAAGTGCTGCGGCTGGGGACTAGCGTAGTTGTAGTGGTGCTTCTGCTGCTGGCCACCGGACAGGTAGCTTGGCGAACTGGGCATCTCGCTGGAACCGTAATAACCACTGCGACCCAAAGTCTGTTATGGTTAGGGGTTAGAAGAGAGAAAAGAAATACTGCTGGTTAGACTGGTTACGTGTTAGACTGGCATCCGAAACCAAGTTAGAATTAGACTACTTAAAACAAATTGGTGCCTAAATTTCGTCATCGATCTCAATGCCAATTTCTTTTGTTGGTGCTCTCAAAAACTAATATAAATTTGAACAAAGTGGAAAAATAGATAAATATTTCATACATTGTTCTGGCTCTTGTAGGCGTATTCGGTGTCACTCTCGTCTGTGGTGAATCCCTGGGCGTTCTTTGCATAGCGCTGAGCATGGCGTACGTTTTTCAGAAGTTGGCGCGCCTCCTCCAGTTCCTTCTCCTTTCGCAGCACGGCTGAACGGGCGTTGATCTCCTGTGCCATACCATCGACCATGGATGTATTGATCTTTAGCGAATGCTCCTCCTCGGCTTCCAGGCCCTGCTGGGCGGCATGCACCAAATTGTCGGTGGACTTGATGACTGCATTTCCAGCGGCCTGGAGGCGACGACCAGCCTCAGAATTTGGATTAGACTTAACCTTGCAGGCAATCAGCAGCTGTGCAGTGGAAGCAGCCACCTGCTTGGCTGTGGAGATAAGCATCTCCTCGGTGCCCACGCCGCGCACCAAGTTCTGGGCAGCCTCCACAAGACTGTGGGTAGCGGCGGCCACAATGCGTGCGGCTGAAATGAGACCCTCGGACCACTGGCCATCATCGGAGCTCGTAAGCGGACGACGGGCCACCTTGCCCGTGTCAATGAGTTCACGCTGAGCGGCGTTTGCAGCTCGCACCAAAGCAGCAGATGCTGCCATTATTCCCTTGGCGGCCTCCAGAATCATTTCATCAAATTTCATGTTTTCGTCAAGTTCAATCTGTGTGAAAAATCGGAGATGGAGTACTGTATTAGATACTGAGCAAACAAAGGGTTAATGAACAACAATCACCAGGCATGTTTAGTTGAGGCTGAATTTTTTAGTAGATTGGCGAGGGTCACAGTAATAATATGTTTGATTCCTGGGTGAACTTTTGAATGAAACAACCAAGAATATCAAACATATCTCACTGGAACCATCAATTAGTTCGTTTTGAGGGACTAGTTAGGGATAAATCAAGCACCGCTTATAGATTAGGATGAGTTTTCAGCTATTTCACTATCGTTAGTTATCATTCACCACTTAAATAAGGTATGTCTGAGATACTAAAACAAAACCCACCTTGACATCGGCCTGGCGACGTGGACGCAGTGAAGCCAACTTCTTGGCCGCCGCATCGATGGAAGCAGCAGCGCCTAGCAGTTCGTTCTCAGCAATAACCGTAGGGTCTTCGGGATCGATCCAATCAGAGCCCTTGAGCAGTCTAGCCATGGCCACCAGGTCAGTGACGCATTTGGCAACGCGACGGGACAAGTGCATACGATCATCGGCACTGCAGTTATGTAGGATACCACTTAGCAAATCTCGGTAGGATTCTCCGACTGCAGTTCCTGCCTCTAGAGTACGACTACGCAGCTCTTCCGTTTCGGCACAATTCCAGGCCACAGAACGGCAAACGATAAGCATGTCAGAGATGGCACGACGACCAAGGTTGGCGGCAGCTACAATATCAGCTTGCAAATTGGAGGTTCCTGCAGCAACGGCCTTAGCAGTAGCGGCTGTCACATTCATGGTCACGCGGATCAGATCCTCAGGTCCCACCTGGGTGTTGCCAACTGGTGGTGGAGTATGCATGGCCTAGAAATAATGAAAATTAAGAAGTTAAATGATATCTCACATAAAAAACTTATAGAAAATTTACCCGAATCTCCTGAGAGATAGCTTCCACTGTTGCCTCCATGGCGCGAGTTCCACGAGTATGCTCATCCTCCACAGCTTTCACAGTCTTCAGCAAAGAAGACACATTCAGCACCATAACCTATTTGTTTTGCGAATGTAAAAACGATTTTTTTTTGGGAGCAGAGCAGAAATGTTTGTGATTAATGTTTGGTCAGAAAAGAAGTGATTTGGAAAGGGTTACTTATAGATAGTAGGATGTCTAGAACTACTAACTACTCTACTACTAAATATGATACTCTACTACTACAACATTCTAGTTGGCTTTGGCACTTTTACAAATCAATATATAACTAAAATAAAGTCAAATGATATTCCAATTTGTTTTTATTATACGCATAAGTAATAAGAATTAGTTTTAAAAATGACTTGATAACATTGAAAATAAATAAATGGGAACTTCTAAGCGCTAGGTAAGCACTTTCAAAATTAAAAATCTTTTAAAGAGAACTGTGATTCTAGCAATGGCTTTCTCCCAGCACTTAAAAGTCCTCTTACAATCAGATTGAATTCAATTTATCAAGGGGCGAAAATTATGTTTCATTGTGCAATGGATTAATGCAAGTAGAATTTCGTCCCAGAATTTCAGTTGGCCATGATGTTGATGCTGCTGCTGCTGGCGAGAAGGATGCGACTGCCACTTCGGATTTCTGATTGTGGGTTAGTTTCTGAATAGCCATTGTGGGCAGCTGCTTGGCAAACATCTTGAAGCGTCTGCTCGATTTTGTTCAGTTTGTACATACATATGTATATGTATATGCGGATGAATGGAGATTTTTGTTTGATATCGATTTGATAGCAGATTGTTTTCCACAGCGAGCGCACAGCATGAAGAGAAGGAGGAGCGTGGAGCGGTTTGAATTCGATTTGCATTTTTGTACAGTTCATGAGTGGTTTTTTTTTTGTTTTGTTTAATTTGGTTTGTGTGTTTGTGGAAAAAAAAGAAGAGCAGATAAGTCGAAGGCACAACGAATTAGCAAAACGAAAAAAATACATCAATTTATGGATTTTCCCATTTGGGTTTCTTTTTACAAACGTTGGAAGTGGTAGTGGTGGTGGTGGGTGGGTGGAAAAGGAAGGGTAGGTGTTTGGATAGGTGGGTGGTTGGGGTGCCTTGGTGGTTCAGAGAGCGCAGCAAGCAGAGCCGAAAGGGATGGTACACGGGCATGACCATGTTGTTAGAGCTGGGCAAGAAGGGTGGTTGGATAGCCGGTCGAGAAATCTGTTGTTTGCCGCCGATGCCACCAGGGAAATAATGCAAGTAGTGGGCTTTTCATGGGTGCGTTCGGTTAAACATTGATAACATTAATAACATTAAAGAAACGACAACACAGAGCAGCAGCTGAAGCTTTAAAGGGAGCAGGATGCGAGAGTCACTCGTTTGAAATGATTTGCATTAGGAAAATTCAGACAGCAGCAGCAGAGATTTTTGGGTTATTCCAAATATACACAGATACATTTATATTTGATTTTCTTTTTGGGAGCGGGCATATGGATTTCCGTTTTTAAAATGTATGGGTAGATGAGTGCCAAAGCCATTTGATGTTTATTTATGTTGAATTTTTAATATGCCACAAACAACATTTATGTATGCGCGTTACATATTTTGCATGAAAAAGAATAAATTAATAAATAATAATATAATAAATACTAAAATCTGTCAGATTTTTATTCCAATGTGTACAATGATCACCGGAATATAAGTCTTCTTTAATTTAAAGTCCTTCGGTTTCAGTTTTCTGTAAACCCATTAATTAAGTTTAGGGGCAAACCATAACCACGTTGAGTCAGTTACAATTTGGTGAGTGAGGATAAAAATTCTGAAACAGTGTAATTCGCTTAACTGAATGTTTGGAAAGTTCGTAATTCCCATCTATTAATATCAGTTAAGGGAAATATCCTGCATATATACTAAAAGCCACAACAACGAAAGCTTTTTAGCAAAAGATTAAAAAAAAACTACGTAAGATAAGAGATAGACAGAGAGAGAGAGTAAGAGAGAAAGGCAGGGGTAGAAAATGGGAAAAGTGCGGCTTACCCTGGCGCTCTCCTTGAGACCCTGCATAGAGGGATCGTTGATGGGCTTGCCAGAAGCCAGTTTAGTGCAGTTGATTAAATCGCCTAGAGCAGAAGCCACATCTTTGACGGCGTTGATGACCATGACTTGGGAATCGGGTTGGGTAGATCCCAGGGAGCAAGCTCCTCTCTTTACTGCCTCAGCCAGTTGAGCTAAATTAGGAATTTAATTAGGTTATACTATAAAGTTGGTTAAGTTTGCTATATTTATCACTTACTTATAGTTGAGACTGCATTCTGAGCTGCATTGGCCAACTGATCCTGAGTTCCAGCCGCTCCAGTCACCAAAACCTTAGTGTCCTCGACCAAAGCCTTTGCTGTCTGAAGAATGTGCTCTCGGTGATCAGCAAAGCTACCATCTCCATCTGAATGCAAAGTGCCTGCGGTGGCAAACACAATGGTTGTATCCAAGTCACCGATGATTCCTGATACCGTATGAGCTGCATTGATGCAGGCTTGAGTACCACGCGATCCGGCCTGCAAAGCGGCCAACACCTGGGCTACCTTCTCGGACACCTCACGAGCATTACGTGCAATATCCTTTTGGGCGCTCACATCATTGGGTCGTGCCCCGCCAGCCGAAGACTGAATCATAGAGCTAACAGAGCGGCCCAAATCGATAACCGTAGTGCGAATACGCATGGCCACATCCGGGGAAGAAGTAGTGGTACTAGCTCCAACGGAGTCCTGAGTCAACTGTTGATAGTGCTGTGTCATGTCCACGGCCAGTTGAGGCAGAGCCGCTGGTTCTACGCTGCTCTTGGCGTTGATCTCGTTGGCCAGACTGGCGATCTCCTTTGCCCGCGCCACCATTCGAGTCTGGTAGTCCACAAAGGTGTCCGAGTATGATGCATTAAGCAGAGACTGTCGCTTATCGGTCAATCGGGTAATGGAACGGTTAACCTGTTCCATCAATCCCGTCACGATGCCCGTCTCCGCATTGATCTTCTCCACGGTTTGCTGCAGCTCCAGTATGGCTTCCCTTGTTCCATCAATAGCATCATCCAGTCGGGGATGGGCATGAGTTGCTCGAGGATTGCCGGCCGAGTCTTTAGCAGACTGCACTAGAGTAACGGCACTTTCTACCACTGAACGAGTTTGCTGGATCAGAGACATCTGCTGTTGGCTGTGCACAATGTGGGTGCAGGCTCCAATAGCTCCATTTACCATGGGCACCACATAACGTGAGATTTCACCCACAGCATGACCAAGTTGCTCAGCGTTGTTCTTACCAGCTACACGAATAGGTTCCAGTTTGTCAACGAGCTCAGAAGCAGAGTTCATCGTTTGGCCACTGAATCCATGCAAGTTGTTATCCCGACGCTGGCTGAGACCCTGAGCATTAACAGCAAGGGCACAGCTGTCCAACTCCCGTGTGCATGTGCCCAAGGTATGTAGCACTTGCTCGCACTGCGCCTGTCCAGGGGCCTTGTCGCGAATGTTGTCCACCAATCGCTTAACCGACTCCGAAACCGGGGTGGAGTGCATCGAAAGTTGTTGCCACACTGGCGGATTGTCAGGGGATAGGGCCAGCGATTTAGCTGCTTTCACCATCTCCACTACACCATCGATTACACCGCGACCCGCTTGAATGACTGGTTCCTGGGCTTTCCTGCCTTCCACAGAGATCTTAGCGGGCACCGAGCTGAATTCAGGACTCGAAGCATACTGACGCACTGCTTTGACGGCTTCTAAAAGAGGATCTACCAGACGTTCGCGACTTCCGCTTGATGGTTGCTCCTCAATGGCCTTGATGGACTGCACCAAGTCTGATGTAGCCGTAGCCACCTGCTTGGCGAGCACAATGAACTCGTTCTTTGCCACGGGGTTCGAGGTGTTCATCGAAGCCTGACGGCAAATGGAGCACAGATAGCTGGTGTGCTTGGCAATCACCGTGAGGGCAGAGATCATTTGCGGCTTGGTTGATTGCTGGCTGCTCACAATGTCACAGTGCTGACGGATTCCCTGGTAGGCCCATGTCAGCTGGGCCTGGTCGATGATTCCAGGTCTTCCTGCCACACTCGAAGGATGCGATACTCCAATCAAATAGGCAGCCTGTGACGAACTCTCAATCAAACCCTGGATGGAGTCGTTGACGTTGTTCACCGATTGACTAAACTCCACATGCTGCGACTGCTTGGCGTTGTTTATCATTTCGGAGATGGCGTAGCCCAGGTTCCTCGATTTGCCTGTGGCCTGTTCTACACAATCGAAGTATCCCAACTCGTTGATGGGTTCATGAGGATAGTCCAGCATCAGACGCAAAGCTTCAATGTTGCGCATAGCTTTGTCACATTCCTTTTGTCCAGGAGCGGATTGGATGCTGGCATCCACCAGTTGATTGATACTCTCCGTAACACCTCGGGCAGCGGCGTGCAGCAGGTTCTTGGCATTCGGTTGGCCAGGATCCGCGGCAATCGACTTGGCAGTCGAAAGTAGAGAGCACGACTGAGTGGAGACATGTCGCAGGGACTCTATCATCTGGGAGCGTACTTCCTCCTCCTGTGTCTGGCCAGCCATCTCCATGCTAACAGACAGCAAGTCTCGGTAATTGGCTGCAAAGTTCTGGCTGCTCTCGGCCAGCAAAGCTGGCGAGGAATACGAAACCACAATCTCGCCACCAGCGGTGCTCAACTGCTCCGCCACTTGTTTGAGTTCCGACTGCAGAGTTGCATATGGACGGCTGGAGGGTGGGAATTCGCTCATCGATAGGATCTCACTCAGATCGCTGACGTTCCTCAAAGCCACATCGACTTCTCGCTGTCCGGGAATACAATCCACTGTGGCGGATAGAGCACCGGTTACTTCCCGCCCAGCTTGAGTCAAGGCTTCCGGGTTGGATACACCCTGCAATGTGCGCTGTGCCTGCTCAATGAGTCGCGCTGAGCTGGAGACCACATCATCAGCGCAGTCGATGATTGCCGGATTCTGTGTAGTGGCCGCTACTCCGTGAACGCTTCTGGTGAAGTCACCTAATGCCAGAGCAGTGTCTCGACCAGCAGCTCCAGCATAACTACGCTGGTTGTGTAGTACAGAGGAAAGCAACTGGCTCAAGGCGATGCCCACATTCTTGGCAGATTTCCTCAGTTCATCGGCCGTACTTTCCACGGTTTGTCCGGGCAAAGGACGCAGTTGACCAGCAATAGCCGCCTGGCGAGTGTCATCCAACACATCGTGCAGTTTACGCACCTCCTCTAGGGATGACTCAAGTTCCTGACCACCGCAAGCATCACGAGCACGCTGGGCCACTGAATGCAGCTCCGACACACATTGTCCTAAGTGCAGAGCTCCCTTGGATAATTGGGTAGCAGATGGAATATCGGTGACAGTGGGTTGAAGAGCTCTTGAAGATTTCGACACCTGCAGAGCTGGTTCAATAAACTGTTCCGCCGCCTCGATGAGATTCAGCTGGGCGTTGGGGTCATCGGGTTGCCCACGGGTTGTCTTCACCGAGGTGACCAGTCGAGGAATAGTGTCCGCCAGTCGCTTGCTATCCTGCAGGATTGTCTCCTTGGTCTGATGGTCTTGGCTGTGTTGCACCGCGTTCTGGGCCGCCGAAATGCACTGGGTTGCTGCTGAGGCTGCTTGCTTAGAACAGAATTCCAGACGCTGAATAAGTCCCCGCTTCATAGCCGGTGTGTTAGCCGCCGTAGTGGTGATCTCCCTTAGCTCCTCAGCTGCCCTACGTAGAGCGTTTTGGTTATCCGAATCATGTGGGTTCGACGAGCAGAGACGAGCGGCCTCTACCAACTTGGCGGTGGCATCAGCCAACTGCTTGGCAGCGGATAACAAATGGCGCTTCATGTCGGCATCCTGCTGCTGGTCCGCCTCGCCCTTGATACTCTGGATGAGCTGAGCAGTGGTTTGTCCAAGGGTACGGGCATGGCGCACCATCTCCTGTGGGTCGTGGGTAGATACCAGGATATCAGTTCCAATAATCACGTTCTCTACGGGACTCAGTTCAGTGCTGGTCCGATTGGCATGCTCCCTGGAGCTCAACTTGACGTGCTCCAACATATCGGTAAGGCTCTTCGAAACATCGCGGGCTGCTGCCAAAAGATCAGCCTTTAGCTTGGGATCATTGCTGGCCTCGTTGCAGACCTCGCACAAAGAGTTGACGGCTCTGGCCACGTTTCTGGCAGCCGCCTCCAGTTGTTCACGACAAGCAGCGTTGTGCAGAGTGGGTGCTACTACCTTGGCACAGGCCACCAATTGACTGGTGGCCAGGGCACACTGACTGGCAGCTCCAATCACCCGATTCCTGGCCTGCTCATCTTCACAGCTGGCGGCAATGTTCTTAGCGCGCAGCACAAGGGCAGCAGTGGTGTTGGCAACCGCCTTAGCCAAAGCTAGGAGCATGTCATGGAGGTCACGGTTCTCGGGTACCTCCTCTTCGGCAATTGTGCTCAGCACATGGGTAGTAGCTTCGCCTACGCGACTGGCCGCATTGATCAGATGCTGTGGCGGCTCCTTGCTTTCCGGCTCGGCTGCCTTGAGAAGGTCACTGAAGGCATTGCACAAGTTACGAGCAGCTTCCAGCAGTTGATCACCATTCGAGTCGTTCTCCATCAAGGCGGCAATCAGTCGCACTTCCTTGGTCACCTCGGGAATGGTTTGGGCAATCTGGGAGACAGATGCCGAAATGGCCTCTGTGTCGACTTCATCCGGATGAGAGGCTGTGATAATCTGAGCGGTGGCAGCGCTCATGGTGGCCACATGACTGCTTACAGCCTGCTTGGAAGTGTCTAAGGTGTTCTCACGCCACTCAATAGAACGCAAATCGCTGCCCAGCTCTTGAATTGGTGCCTGCAAAGGAAAGTAATAGGTGATTAATGAAAGAATCCTACAGAGGAGTGGAATATCTTACCTTAGTGCGCAGCTCTTCGTCAGCGCGAATTAAGACATCCCGGCCAGCAGATATATAGCTCAGCAGAGCCCTCTGTGGCTCCGTCAGATTCACAGAACTAATGCGAACTTCCTTAGTCTAAAGAGTTATATTCAAATAAAATAAATTAGTATTTGGGTTTGCAAGAACTCTCTCCAGCAGATTGCATACTTTGTGAAACATTGGATTGCCACTGGCTTTTTATTGAGATTGCAGCATGTCAGGAGAAAGGAGTTAGAGAAATGCTTTATGTTAGTTTTCTTCAAATGGAATGGAAATATTATCTTATGGTTCAGATTTAGTTTTATGTTAATGTTACGAGTGCAGTGGCAACTCAAGCAAAAAAATTGCGTGACAAAAATTATAAGCTGAGTGTATATGACTAGTGGTTAGTGGAGGATGTGACTGTGGGTTGGGAGTGAAGTAAACTCACCGTTGGCGGCTGGTGGGCATGGTTAACCTGGCCGACGAAGGCACCATACTGGACGGTCTGCACTTCGTTCTGACTATAGGTGCGCTCGCCTATTGTTGAATTCATTTAAGAGAATTCAATGGGTTTTGGTAAAAATAAAAACATAAATTAGCATTTACAAGATAAGCAATTTAAAAGTAATCAAGCAAATAGCAAACTTATTTTGGAGATTTTTTCTTAACAAATTAAGGTTCAAAATGTCGGAGCCTTTAAGTTTATTCTTTAAATGATTTAGACTCGACATAATCTTTAAATAAAAAAAAACCATCTGTAATATGGTTTATCTTAAGTAGCAGAAGCTATAGTGCTTATATCAGATTAGGTCAAAAAACTTACCGTCATAGGGGCGCATGATTCCTGGATGAGCCAAGCTCTCCACATTAAGTTGCTCCAGTCGATTCGTTTCGTGTTGCAAGAATGTGGCCCTATAATTTGAATTATTAGAAATCTGAATTTTCCACAACAATCACCTTAACTTACTTCGAAGGTGCTACAGACTCCTCCACCATCGTAGAGCCCTCGTCTCCTTCAATGCCAAAATGATCCTTGGTCTGCTTCTTCTTAAGAATAATGTCGATGTAGCCAGCAATAAGCTGGACAATTTGCTCGGCCTCTGTCGTCTGCACCGAGTAATATTGATTGGCATAATCGCCAAAGTCCAAGGTAAAGGTGTTTGGTGAAGCGCCCCAACGTCGAACTGTGGTCAAGGGCCATGAGACAAGAATCTCCTTGGTGTGCTCGTCTAGACGCAGCACCGAATCCTTGGTCACACCCAACAGACGGGGTACAAGTTTGTTCTTGCCGTTCATCTTCTCCTTGACCAGGAAGAACGTAACACCATAGGTTGGCAACTCCCTGGCGGTCTTAGTGTACAAGACTTTGGCGTCGATTTCGGAAAGTTCCGTATGCTTTTTGTGCTCCACAAAGATTTTCTTCTCAATTCCCTTGGTGCGCACATAAGACTGCGGCAGGAAGTCCTTTAAACTAATGAAGATGTTTTCCAGACATTAGAAAAATAAAAATGTTATTGACAAATCTTTAACTCACTCTAAAAATCCGGCCTTGTGCTTGGACTCATTATGCGGTCCAAATTGAATATGCACTTGGATGCCAGCAAACTCACAAGCTAGAGAATAGGAAAATTATTAATACAGGTTCCTTGGAGCCTGAAACCAAAGGAGACCCACCTTTATCTTGAGTCACAGGATGCGTGCCATCCAGAATGGCGTCCCTGGCTTGCACATAAAGCAAATTCAACTGCACGGGGTCCCGAGAGTCGATGTTCTGATCCGAAAAGAAAAAGCGACGGCGGAGCAAAACAGTTTCTGCCTCGTCAATGCCCTGCTCCCTCAAGGTGCGACTCACATCCACCCAGTTCACTGGAAATACACATTAATTGTAACACCATTCACTTGAGGATCCGAGCTAGTAACTTACTTTCATCGTCCGTCTTCAGTTTCTTGCGCAAACTCTCCATCTTGGCATCACGATCCTTCTCCATAATCTTGCGCTTAAGGGTCAGAGTGCCGAACTTGTTGTCCGGAAGGTTTTCGTTCTGCGCCTCGTTGTCCTCGCGAACCAAGCCATACTCCTCGTGGTTGGTGATGCCGATCTTCGTGCAAATAACCACCATAAGCTGCGACACCGGCTGGGAGTCATCCACCAGGATAGTCTTTACAGCTCCATCCAACATACGAACGCGAAGGGTACGCGTCTTACGGCGGTACTCCAGCGTGTCATGGTTGTGCAGTATATAGTAGCCCAGGGTGCGTCCGGGTTCCAACCAAACGCCTTGTTGGTTTTGCTCGTCAGAGATGAACAAGCCATATTCGCTGGCTGTAAGAAAAATGGGAAAATTATATTATTTCTTGGATTCTAAGGTTAAGGATTCAGGGAGTTACTTACATTGTCCTTGCACTGCCTCGGCGAACTTATCGCGAATGACCCTGCAGGCATCGAAGACTGTGGTGTTGGGTTGGAACTGTATGGTCTTGGTCACCCGGCCACCCTCGAGTTGGATGCGCAACGATAGTGTGGACATCCTGGAGTCGTCTTTGCTGCTTCACTTCGACTTCCTCTACTCCTTTTCTTCTATCTCTCTCTCCTCCGCCTCGTCGTCGTTTCCTCGGGTAAACTTCCAAGGATGTGGAAAATGCAAAAGGCACTGAAAAGGATAAAAAGGAAAATGTAAGATTAATTAAAGTTTTTTTCCGAAGTTAATGAGGTTTTCTTTTTATTCCACTGTTATGGTTAATGGAACTCACTTAAATGTAACCTATTTTCCAGTTTTTAACGATTTGGTTAACGTTTAGTTAAGTTCTCTAGTTCTATGAGACTATATTAAAGTAGGGTAATATTCAAATAAATTATGCTTAAGAGGACAAACTAAAAGTGGAAAACAGACAGAAGAAAAACCTAAACCAGAAACCATGAGCCAGGAACCATCGACCGAGACCAAAACCAAAACCGAAACCACCCCCAAAGCGCACGGATATCTTCCGCCGGACGGGCAGGGGCGGTGGCGATGTCAGCCACCACCCAAAGCGCAGACGACCGATAAAATTGCTGATGAAAATCTTCTCGAGAAACACTCACACATACATGTAGACATTAAATGTTCACACAAACAGGGGAGAGGGCAAAGCAGGACACTTGAGTTGCCAAATCAAAGCCTGAAAAGTCCAGGCCCATTGTAGTGTCGCCCCTTATGGGGTAGCAAAGTAAGCCCACTCTGGTGACTTCTCCAACACACTCTCTCTCTCTCTCTCTATCTTCCATTCTCTTCATCATTAGGCTTTAGATTTTAAGCCAAGTTCCCTTAATGCCAATCTCCAACCCCGAAAAGCAGACGTAATTGATTTTCTGTCGCCCGCTTTTTGATCCTGCCAGCGTAAAAAGACAAAAGCTGTCTAAGTGTGTCAGAGTTCGGGTGGAAAAATGTTACCATTATTGTTTTCTCTAGCATGCAAAAATCAATAATTTCCACAAATGTTTTGTTTTTTGCTTTGTGTTTTCTTTTTTTCTTCTTTTTTTTATGAATGCTTTACACACACAGAAAGAGAGAGCCAGAGGAAGCACTTGAAATTTCCGGCAGCCAACACACACACACAGAATATCACGAACAAACTTTCACAATTACTTTTTGTAGGAGGACAACAACAGGACGAGGACGGTTCCATATGGCGGCGACTGTGGATGGCACCGATTGTCGGCATCCTACGGCTGCGGAGCTGCACGTCTGCTCTCCACGGAATCTGGCACGAAAGTGATGAAAAGGTTGACTCAACGCTGCGGCTCAGCCTGCGGCAGAGGGATGCTGCTCTGTCGACGTCGGCGTCAGCATCCCTTCCGCGTCCAGGACATCGATGTCTGTTGGTGCCACCACCACCACAAGGACTTGGCAAGAGAAAGGCAGAGAGATAGTTCAAGAGAGAGCAACGCATGCGCAGTGCTTTCTTTGGAGAGACAAAGGGTGCAGTCACCGCAAAGTCACCCTCTTTTCGCCACTGGAGACTTCTCTCACTTTCTCCCCCTTTGTCTTGGAGAGTTGGTAGACTTTCACAAGGCGCCTGAGTGGCGCCAGCCGGCATAAAAGTATCCGAATCCTGCGCAGCATCAGCCGGATAATGGGGTGGTAGGGTGGCCAGCAAACACTGCGTAATCCGATATGAGTCTATAGAGGAAAACAGGTTCTGAGGGCAAGGACAGTGCGCAGAAGGGATTTAAATTCTGTTTCCTTAACAAAATGATTTTTTAAATGACAGTTATTAATGATTAACTTGAATTACCAGAATGTATTAAATTTGTATTAGATAAATGCTTAGTTTAAATAGTATTTAGATGTCATTCCAGGGTTAAGACTTTTAGTTTAGGTTTATCTAAGCACTGTCCTATTATAAACAATGAAATGAGTTACTAGCGACCTTCTAACACAACCCTACTCCAAGTGAATATTGTAACGCGATACGGCCCATTAATTCAATTAACTTCATGTGCTCATATCAGGCAAACAAGAGGAAGGAACAAATACATCTTCCTGCAGAGAAAACAAAAAGAAAGCTAGTAAGAGGAGGAAAACTGTCAGAGTCACGTCAAGAGAATGGATGAAGGACAATGAATCTCTCCTAACAAAAAGACAAACAAAAAAGCTTATAGATTCAGTGTATGCCATAGACCTTATTTAAACGGTTTCAAATTCCCCAACAGCTTTGTTTTGACTTAACGTTTTCCCTCACAATATTTCCTCATGGCATTCCAACATTTGCAAATTACAGATAGGTAATAAAACATAATAATCAAGGAAATATTCGTTAATTTTAGAGCAAACTAAGCTGAGCTGAAAAAGCGAATATGGCCTGCGGCTGCCACGAATTTTCACAGTGGCCGCTTGGGCAAAGCTATTGCCCACTCCCACTCCCGCTCCTCCACAGCTGGCCACCAACTGATACCATCCGAATGCAAATGGAACCCATGCAAGGAGTCGGAGGTGGAGTCGAAGCCTCTCACTAATTGGCAACCACTTTCCACCCAGAAGTCACACTGAGCTGCTAATGGATGTAATTTACTGCCGGCAACGTTTTTCTACGAGCACATCTAATTAATTGAGTGTGGATGTGGATGGCGAGGCGCAACTTGTAGATTTTTATAGAGGAAAAACAAACTGCTCTAGGAGTTTTACTTGAAAGAAACCAACAGCTTGGGATAGCAAAAGTTTTCCGATGCAAGGGAAACATTCTCAAAAACCTTTTCAAAAACAATTTTCCAAGTTTTACTTACTTTTCGAACACTTTGTAAGGCTCATCGTGAGAACTTGTTTACAATTTTGTTCTTTTCGAAGATGTTTTGAATTTTTCGTGAGTTGACGATCGAAAAACTTTAAGGCACGTGAGCTTACGGTTACGGTTTAGGGCTTAATGCTTATAAAGGCACGCTCGGGCGTAGTGTGTGTTTGTTGTGTTGTTGTTGTTGTGTTAAGAGTGTGTTTTGTTTTTGTTGGTGTTTAACAAGATCTTGGCGATCGTTCGGTTGACGTTGTCATCGAAAGGCAATACGGGGTGTTGAAAAGGGGATTTTAAAAATCGTTGACTGCGACGGCAGCGCTGGGTCAGTTGAGTCTTGCGACTCCTGCAGATCCTGCGAGGCAGCTGCACGACGAGCTGAGGCACGTTTGTGGTGTTGGCAACGGAGCGTACCGTTTTTGTACAACAAATTGTACGGAACCGAAACTGAATTTTTATAAATATTCAACACAAAACGATGGCAAAAACCGCTAACAATTTTGAAAATCTTAAAAAACGCGTATACATCATAATAACGTGGAAAATCTCAATTTTTTTCGTTGACTTTAACAAATAACGTTTAAAATTTCGTGTTCTCTAGTATAAAGGCATTCGTTGTGTAAATTTTGTAAAGTAATATATAAACGTCTGACTTTGTATATATATTGTTAAAAACGTGTAAAGCTTGGTAACAAATTTTTATAGTGTTTTTATGTGTTTTTTGTGTTTTGTTTTTTTAAGGCAAATTAGTGGCAGAGTTTTGAGCAGCGATTGAATCGCATCGACTTAAGGTCTTTTAAAAAGTAAAGTTTCTCTTCAAGGCACTTGACGACAACAACGCAGTGTGTGTAAGTGTGTGTGTGTTTGTGTGTGTGACTGGTTAATAATACTTCTTAAGGATAAGGCACGAGCTATGACGAAAAACAGGAACCGAAACGGTACAAAAGGCACTTGACCGCCAAACTTAACGAATTTGTTTCAAAAACTCAACAAGAAAACAGGCACAAAACGGTTTAAGAACGCGACTTAAGACTGACTTTCTGACTTTGTCTCTGAGCTGGCAAGTCCTGCCCGATCAGCGGCTAGGCCTAGAATGATGTGCTATGCCGGCGACACATCGTGAGCTTCTGATGTCAGCATCATTCATTCCACTAGTCGTAACCGTTGTGTGAATCCGCGACTCGACGGCGTCGTCCTGGCGTTAGATCAGCGCATGCTCCACGGACGGGATGCCACGATAGCAGAATGGCAGGATACGGGATGAGATGGCATGTGCCTGGATAGCCTTTTTGCCTGGCTGCGCGAAAAGGATGTGAGTAGGTGGCTGCTGCTGGGCGAGATCGTAAAAATTGCCTATCCTTCGTTACCAAAAAAGGGAGGGTTTGGGTTGCAGAGTAACATTTTGGCTTTTTTCACTTCGTTTTCTTGATGTTAGATGTGTGTGTGTGTGTGTGTGTGCGGAAAATCCACCACCAACTGGGTGCACCCAATGGGTGGCAATGGACCACCAATGGCTGAACTTCGCTTTCGCCTTATGTACAAGCAGAATTGTTTTTGCCATTTGCCATTTACATGGCTAAAATTGTATAAATTAAACTTGGCTGAGTGTTTTTTCTGTTTCTCATTTTTGGTTGAGGAAAACACAAATCTCATCAGGGCATGCGAAATGAGTAATGGTTAAAGAATACTGGGAAGTCGAACAGCGGGAGATCTATGTTTTCTTAACTTTTCTCTAATTAATCTGATTTACTTTGATTAATTATAAGAGAATGAGTTAAGTAACAACAGTATGCATCTATCTTTAAGATACAAAATGAGACAGGACAGTATCTCCTGGCCACAATCTCCACCCACCAATCCACACTTATCTGTGCAATCGCTGTCGACATAAAAGCCAAGCGAAAGAACAAAAAATAAGCTCAACTGGCGCGACATTCTGGCGCCAAAGCCACCATTTTGTCTGGCCATATAGCCGAGTATAGTATATCTTTGTGCCTCGTCCTGAAACGCGTGTGGCTGCGTAGGAGTCCTGTGGTGGCCGCCAAGGAATCTGCACAGTTTTCACTTGTCTTGGGACACGTTTACTCCTTCACAGCCTTGTTTTCCCTCTGATTGCTTTTCCCTCCCCCATATACTTTCGCAAAAGGATAACAAAATGCCATCGAGCTGCGCCAATGTGGAGCCTTTTTATGTAATTTGCACAGTTTTTATTTCTGTTTGTTAAGTGGAAAAAATAGAATTTGACCAGATACAGCAGATACTCGTGTCTAAAGGCATAAAATAAAGTAATAAACTTGAAGAAGGCATTTTTCTTTTTTATAGGTAGAAAGTATTGGTTGTTGGTTCTTCTTGATTAATTGAGTTTTCGAAGTTTAGCAAAACCAGGAGTTTATCTTTTTATTTAATGTGATATATTGGGGAAATTTCTAGATTTTATTGAGAACTTTCTCTAGCTATGAGTATAAACCCTAACTGACTTCTTAAGTACCCTTAAGTACTACTTGAAGAGACAAAGAAATGATAATGATTCATTATAAGAAACCCAAAGTAGGTGACACATGCCAAAGAAGTAAGTGAAATCTATGAAAAGCTGTCAAAATAGAAAGCACTTATCACCCAACTAAGCTTAAAACTAATTATTTGCTTATGCAAATAATCGTTGACTCCTTCACTTACCTTAATTCGTTGTTAGCCGCTTATCTCTGGCTAATGGTTTGTTCGATTTAGTTTCAGTTGTTAAGCAGATAGTGAAGAAGTATGTTTAACGAAAGTTGTTTGCTGTGTGTGCGCCCGTGTGTGTGTTTGAGTGTTGGCAGTGTTAAGTGTGATCGTTGTTGTTGCGTTGTTTGTTTGTTTCTTCGTTGCTTGTTGCGGTTGTCGTTTGTTTGATTTGTTTAGAAGATCTGCAAAGAGAAACACAGAGAGAGCAAACGGTTAAAACGGCATTTGCAAACGTGGCGAATAGGAAAATCTCTATCTATCAAGTTGCCACTGTGGCAACTTCAAGCAAAGCTCAAAGCAATCCACTCCAAAACTGCAGAACGCACAAAGCATTTTTCCTGTTTTCATTTTCCATATTAGCACAGCTCGACCTCGGCGCCGATGGGTTGACGTTGTGGATGATGGTCTGTTAGGTGGGGCAAGTTGCAGAAGAAGCCGATATAGCTGCACATATATGGCTAGATGTCGGCATTGCGGTTAATGCCACCAAGGCAGCCGGAGCAAGAGCTCGGCCACCGCACATATAGAATACCATTCCAAGAATGCTGCACCAGACTTTTCCATTAGCGTTCGCACAAACCCAGAAACTCTTGTTTATAACAACAACAAAAAATATCAATCAACACCCAAAAGCCCAATAGACTGCATCAATGTGGCAGTGTAAGAAGATCGAGTGGAAGAGCTTGTCGATCGGCTAGAGAGTTGAAAGCTGCAACTGGCCAAGAATCCGAATGCTGTGGTCTCCCTTTCTGACTATTAACATCAACTTACGAGTATACATTTGGTTAAGAATCTAATTGTGTATAAAAGCAAAAGATTCAACTTGTTTTTGCTGAGTATGTTGCAGGCAAGGCCCAAGACCAAGAGCATTTCAAATCTTTATGATTTGGCGAAAGGCAGATTCCAAATTTAAATAAATGAAAATTTTAACTTGTGATAAATACATATCATTCGAAATTTCCATGAAATGAGTAGTTTAATGCAAAATATGATTAAAAACAATATTTTTAAACAAATTAATCATAATTTACTAATGCAATGGAAGAATAACATAAAAACAATCCTCTAAGCTTATCAAATATGACTGAATCATCACTTCTGAATAATTATATTTCACATTCATTATGTTGGATTGATAGTAGTAAGTATATTATCCGCTAACCACATTCATTTCAGTTTCAGAAGTAACCACAGGGTTAAGCCAAGTCAACTTATATCCACCCAATCGACTTTGCTACAGGTGCAGGTCAGCCCTCTAGACTCGTTGGCAAGACAAAAGCTTGGGGCGTGGGTGACACCCACTGATCTCCTGGCCCCCCATCTAGCCTCCTCTCCTCTCTGTGCCGCTCTCAATGAAAGCGAAAATGCGATTGTGGGCGTTGGACAAGTTTTCTGTAGTTTCTGTTTAGTAGGTCGACGGCTGATTGCGTTTATACATCGGTACGTACTTACATACATACATAGCTCGATATCTGTGTATCGGTCTTCGCGGAGCAATCAAAATTACAAAACGATAGCGTCACGTAGTTATAGCGAACACAATCTGAGACCTTGGCACGATTCTGCCATGCAGCCAGAAGCCAGATGTCGGGCTAGGTGCTCAGGCACGTTCTACAATGCCGAACCTCCGAGCTGTTGAAAGGGTTCCGAGTGCTTTATGGCCAAGACAGACAGCATGGACATGCCAGATTAAGGGGAACTGTTGAATAGGTTTATTCACCCGGGCACAAGCAAATATGCGGAGATCAGAGATAAAAGCAAGATACTTTTAAAAAACTCAGACATATTAAGTACTACGGTTGATAAAAGTTTATTCTGGTTTTCAAATGATTTCTATACTGGAGAGAGAAATTTCCTTTTCTATTCATTGAGATCGCCACAAGTTTATAAAACCTGTTAATTATTATTACTTAATAATCTCTGTGATTGGATTAGGCTTTTAAACAGAAAGCCATGTCACCCCTTGCCAAAAAAACACTAATAATGTACACACATAAAAACAAATATTATAATACATCATACATGCGGGCGGTGATGACTACACATGCCTGTGCTTAAATCAGCTTCCAATGCCATAAATCACATCACAACTCACAATAAAAAGGAAAACAGAAAGAGAAAGGAGAATTTAAATAAACTGCCAAAGAAAATTCAACGTAAAATGTGTTAAAGAAAAGCGTCCAAAGAAAAAGTTCCCTCCACTATAAAGGCAAAACAGATTTTAATTAAACCAAAACAACATTCAGGCCTCATAGATGTGCCCAATCCTACATCAGATTCTATATATATATATATATATATGGAACGCTATAAATACCGAGCATAAACGAGAACTTTCAAGGTAAACAAAGCATTATTTGGAGAGCAGACAAATCTCGTGGATTTTCCATTCGATGCGCCTCCGTTCGAAATCAATGAATAGTGTTGAAACTAAAAGTGTGAAGAAAGGCAATTCCCATGGATCATACTTGCCCCCCCTGACCAAAATTGTGGCACGATATTCATGCAACACTGGAAATAGAACACTGCCACCTAAGCGAACAAACTGAGGTCCCCAAAGTAGCCGGCAAACTAATCTTCATATCACACAGTCAGTTCTTATCGAAGTGATCACCTACACTATACAAGCGAAATAGTCCCCTTGCCGAGCTTTCACTGTACTTGGCTGGCGGCAATGATGGCGACTCTGATGATGATGCTGCTCTTGGCTCATTCATTTGCTTATTTTTTGCTCATACCCTGAGTCATAGATGAATTTATAGAAATTTCAATTTTTGTGCACTACAACGGGCCAGTTTGGAGGTCCAACAGATGGCCGGCCAGAGCGATCCCCACCGGCGGCGACTCGCTTGATTATTAGTTTCGCTTGAGTAATGTAACAGCAGCATCAAACGACTCATGCAAAAGTTTTATTTCACTTTTCATGTCAGCGGAAATTGACGAGCGGTCAGCGAGAGAAAAAAAGGTCGTTAAACAAATGTGTCACGATCCAGTGACAAGGTACTGAAAATGGCTTAATGAGTGCAATTACGCCAGCCGAAAGCTATTGAGTTTGAACACAGTTTCCCCCAAAACAATTATGTTGCTTCTGGGGAAAGGTAACTTATTATTTAACTTTGAAGTTGCTGAGTAATGTTCCAGAATGCAAAGAGACAATAGACTTACTGGAAAGTAACCTATTAACTTTTAACAGATAACAAGAATCTGTTAATTGTTAACCCATTACAAGGCAAATGATAGCCGTGATACACAATGCCCACATTTGTAAAAGTAATAAAGTTTATTTGTCCATTTTGCACATTCAACTTGCTTTCGTTTACATTTTCAATCACTTATAAACAACACTCACGTTCATGAGTTTCCTTTACTCAGCTTGGGTCATTTAACTTC